AAAATCAAGCTCATCTCACTTAGGATCAAGGGCAAGGCATACTTAATTTAAAGATTATCATCTAAGTGTCTCCAGATTCACAACTGTAGTCAAATAACTTTAGTTAGTGTTAAATTACTAAAATAGCTTATCTTCTTGTTTTACCTGCTTTGCGTTTTCAATATATGCAGCCATGTATTCATATGCAGCAGCCTGAGCATTAACTCTGGTTTCAGTGCCTTCCACTGGTAAAGCAAAACTGTCCATTATGATCATCGTTTCACCATCTACTTTTCCAAGCATTAAGCCCATCACTTCTAAGTTGCCTCCTGATCTAGCATGCATGACCATCTTCAGAAGAGCCAAGGCAGAGATTTTGCAGTACTTGAAATAATGGTGGCTGCAAAGAAAAGACCAAATATCTTAAAAATGCAATTGAATTATTATAGAAAGGAAAATAGGAAAAAATACACATACATTATTTAAGCATAATGCTCTAGAATAGAATACAGCTGGAATGGACCTTGGAGGTCTTCTAGTCCAATCCCCTGCTCAAGCAGGAGAACCTATACCATCTCAGACAAGTGACTGTCTAATCTCTTCTTAAAAATCTCCACTGATGGAGCACCCTCAATTTCTGGAGGCAAGCTGTTCCACCGGTTAATTGTCCTCACTGTCAGGACATTTCTCCTTAATTCCAGGTTCCTTCTCTCTTTGATCAGTTTCCAACCATTGTTTCTCGTCCTTTCCTCTGGTGCTTTGGTGAATAACATCACCCCCTCTTCTTTGTGGCAGCCCCTCAAATACTGGAATACTGCTATCATGTCTCCCCTATTTCTTCTTTTGACTAGCCAAACCCAAGTCCCGCAGCCGTTCTTCTTATGTTTTGGTCTCCAGGCCTTTCATCATCATAATTGCTCTTCTCTGATTTTTTCCCATTAGGGATTTCTACTAGACATAAAATCACCAGGCTATTTTAGATCACAAGAAAAAAATAAAAATCCACCATTAATCTTTAAGAGAACAAAAATATACTAAAGTTTTTGAAATCTCTAGAATATTTTGATAATTGAGATGTTTACAAAAAGTGTAACTGGAGATAGACACTCAGAAAAGAAAATCTTGACAATTCTGAAATTATAAACATGATAAATATCCAACACCATAAGATGGGACTTAAGACTTAAGATGAGAATCTATCTACCAAAAAACAGGGAATCCGTTACTGTATATTTGTTTGTTCCAACAGCTGTTGTAGCCCGAAATTTGGCATACAACAGAATGACCTCTACTAAAATTTTGTCTAATATACATATAAGCGTTTCTCTTTCACGCCATCGTTAAGATTGTTACTACACAAAATTCATGTTTTCAACATTACATAAAATTCCCTTTGTAATATTTTGGGTGATGATCCCAAGCATTTTTTTTGTATATTTATGTAGTTCCTAAAAAACGGCATTGACCGACTATGGATTATTTAATGCACCATCTGCTCAGATATATGGCATGCAGCAGGGTTTTCCCTAGAACAATTCTCTATTGAATGTGCTCCGTAGGAATATGTTTAGATCCAGTACTGATGTCATTTTTTTCATGAAATAAATACCGTAACTTTTCATTATCCATGGCGTTCTTATTGTTTCTAATTTAATAATTTCCTATATTGTACATATTTTTAATCTGTTATCTTTTTGTAAGCATATTGACAATGATACAGGCTGCCGGTTATTTTAAATAAATAAAGTAGAACTATACTGCAAAACCATAAAATAACATTGTCTGATAATTCAGTAAACAGTTTAGGTAATATTGTGCATGGTTTGGATGTGGGAAATTTAGCTCAAAGCACTGCTTAATTTGAGAACTATTCTGATATCTAATTTATAGAATTACCTCTAAAAAACTGTGAATTCCTTCCTTTTTGTCAACACAGGCCACATCCTAAAGTGTTCTGTGTGCAGGCAGCACACAAAACCGTGCCCCCTCTGAGCCGCGGAAAAATCTTTTCTATAGAACTGGTCCCGGGTGCACAAAAGATTGGGGGTCTCTGTTCTAGATTATATCATGCTGGATAATTTGAAAACAGTATTATGTAACAACTCAATCATTATGACCAATATTGGTGTTCCAATGAATGACAATCAACTGTCAAAGTGAAACATCTACGTTTCACAGTAACATATTTTTGTTTAATTTGTATCTAATGTCATATTGCAATATTCTTCATTTTCCTTATTTTTGAATTAATAGAGGCATTTTATATGAATGTATGAAATGGCTTCAGTGCTATGCCCTTGGACTAATGGCTTTTTGAGAAAGAATTACACTAATGAGAAATAGAAGGCTGTGGAATATTGTAATTTCAAAAGAGCCTCTCTCTGTGGATCATCTGATCTTTTGTAGACAGAATAATCAGCAAAGTGCATTACATTTTCTACACTCTGAAACTGTTATATTGCTGTTGGCTTAAGGAAGAAAACAATAGTTTATAACATAACAGTTAAGGACAGCTTAGGCCTGTCTCATTCATGGGCAAGAGATGAGATAAAGGCAACGTTGTGGAATCCTGGCAGGAAAAAAAAGTTTGCCAGGATATGTTTGCATCATGGTTACAGGCAAGAAGAGAAAGACCTAAATACATGGCTTAACTATATATTGTAAAACCTAGTAGATGTGTCATTAGTTACCAGTATTTGCTTGAAGGGCAATCCTCTAATAAGTATGCCTCTTTTCACCTAATTTAATTCCATCTTCACTTTCCTTAGTTTCATCTCTGATTTCATTTTCTCCTTTTTGTTAACATCCATATGAGTGCCAAACCCTATTATTTCTACCTCCCTAGGATCTGCAAAATCCAAATTTCCATCTCTGTTTTTAAATTTAAAGCCTTCACCCCTATATCCAATTAAAGAATGCAATCTATTCTTGGACCCGTTTTTCTATCTCCCCATCCTCTCCAGATCCGCCTTGCATCAAGCTACCTCTGGGGCAAGTGCACCATCACTGCTGCACCGGCCCCTTTTCCTGGCCATGGGATCGGGCAGCGACCTCGGCAGCCGGCAGAACTCTCTGAACCAAGGCAGAGAACGAGGAACGCAGAGCGAGCGGCGGTTTTCCCTGTCGCTCAGACACCAACTTACTCCTTGGTCCATGGCTTGGCCGCCAGGATCTCCTGCTGCTGCTTGCGGTCATACTTGTAAATCTCATCGATACTCTGTGCCTCCTGCATGTTGTTAGTCAGCTCCCACGTTTTCTGGGCCATCCCGCTCCCCGAAGGGCCGGCAGTCGCCATTTCACCGGCTTGTCAGGCCGAGCCAAAGAAGGCTCTGCTTCCCGGTGAACCGCCTAGGGCAGCAGGAACCTCTCGGTCCGCTGTCGGACAGCGCAAACCGGAAGTGAGGGGAGAACAGTCGTTCCTGCCGAATGGTTCCTCCGACTCTGCGAAGCCTGCAGCTTGCCACCTAATGGTAAGCGATGGAATTAGTCTCCCAAGAGCCGGGCTATCCTCGGTTTGATTTACTCTGCGCGTCAGGTGTGTCTCCGGGAAAAGCCCCGGGGCCAAGCCATCCAAGACAGTGTTTCTCAGTCTCAGCAATTTTAATATGTATGGACTTCAATTCCCAGAATTCCCCAACCAGCATGCCACTTCCGACGAATATTGGCACTTGAAGTCTGAACTGCTGAGATCTCTAGGACAGTGTTTCTCAACCTCAGCAATTTTAAGATGTGTGGACTTCAACTCCCAGAATTCTCCAGCCAGCATGCTGGTTGAGGAATTCTGGGACTTGAAGTCCACAAATCGTAAAGTTGTTGAGGTTGAGAAACTGCTCTAGAAGATCTCTGTGTACTGCTGGCAGCCTTTCTCCATTGTATTTAAATATGGAACTGGTTGATGACTGCATGTCTGTGAAGAAAGGACACAGCAGAACAGACTTTGAAAGTTTAAATCATTGAAAAGCTGGGGCAAATGTCATTTGGTAATTGTTATGTATTTTAGATATATTGATAGCTAAATGAGACAATACTCTTCCCTAATTTAGTGCCCTCCAGATGTGTTGGGACTTGAAGAATTCTTGGCCATGGGAATTTTGATGGGAATTTGTTCATTAGTTAATATTTGTGGAGTGAAATTTGACTTTAGCATTAACATAATGTATTTCCAGTTATTTTCCTCTAAAATATTTCTGATCCTTATCCCAGATATTTATTTAGCTTTGGTTTTTGAAATAATATTGAGTGATCAAAATAACTTAGCATTTTTGATACAAAAAGCTAGCGGTTTCCTTGTTACAATAACTCTCATATTTTGATATAGGTTTTCATGTCTGTACTGTCCCTGCAACTAGTTAATGCTTGTTGTATTCAGGCACATTTATTTTTAAGGTTAAAAAAAAAACAACTGGACGGTCTACCACCTGGCTTTCAGCTGCCTACCAAGGAACCTGTTTGCTTTTATCAACATATTTCTCTATGCCAGCTGGTTATAACTTGAGAAGATCTCAGCACCAGATCAGAATCTATACTGCATGTTTGCAGCCCATTCTCACATCCTACTTTAGCGCTGCAGCACTTTGAAGTGCCAGACCGTGGCGTAGGCTGAACATTGGTTGCTCCTCTTCTCAAACTCCTTAGCTACTCAAGTGTCCAGAAAAACAGTGGTGTTTTTTTTTCCCCCACTTCGATCTAGCCTAATCTGAGCCAATTTATTATAGTGGTCTCTTTCAGCCCTAGAAAGCAGGCAATGGCAAACCATTTCTGAAATGTTGCCAAGAAAACTGCAGGAACTAATCCAGGCAGTCGCCAGTAGTCAAGATTGATTCGATGATACAAAAAAAAAAGTGTTGGGACGTCTGCTATGCCCGCTTCTCAGAGCGCTCCGCCTTCTCAGGGAGGAACCTAAAAAGCAGGCGGGGGATAGGCTGCGTGCCAATGGCGCCCTCTACTGCCTGGAATCAAAAGCACATCCGGATTTGTGAGAGGTGACCGATAACCTATTGGTCCTGAGCTTGCACAGAGCGCTAGACAACTGTAAACAGATTAAAGGCTGCCCAAAAGACGTCTCATTTCCGCAACGCAGCACAGGACCAATAGGTTATCGGTCACCTCTCACAAATCCGGATGTGCTTTTGATTCCAGGCAGTAGAGGGCGCCATTGGCACGCAGCCTATTCCCCCCCCTGCTTTTTAGGTTCCTCCCTGAGAAGGCGGAGCGCTCTGAGAAGCTTTGATTGAGGCTGACAAAAATCGGCGGGATCCGCTGGTGGAGCACCCGCCGGCGCCTGGGCCTTTCCGGAGCGAGCGGCAGACGAGGTGAGCTTTGGGCAAGGTCAATTCCGAAGACTGGTCGTTGCAGCCCTAAAGCACTCTCATGCTGACCCAGAACTGTCTGGTAGAAGCGCGCGCCGAGAAACCCCGTTTCTCCTTTCCGCCCCCTCAGCCCCCCCGCGCCCCCCCGCTGGGGAAGGGTTTAAAATGGACCTGAAGGGGCAAGCAAGGGGGGTCCTTGCATATGTCGTAGGGCTTTGGAGAGGGCTGGCAGAAGTGCCCATTCGGGTCGGGGTGGGCGAGGTTGGGCGTAGAATTGTACTTTTAAATCCAGATGTTCGGCTCAGAAAGCTTATGGAGACGCTACGTGGTAGGCTTTCGCCAAAGCTCTTTGGAGGCCGCAGGTTTTGTTGTACTTTGGTTGCTTAACAACGCCGTCCGGCTTCTTCTTAAAGCGACAGTTTCCTGGAAACTTCAAGCCGAGGTGGTGCAGCAGTTAGAGTGCAGTACTGCAGGCCTCAAGAGCCTCTTGATGCGGGTGAAGAAGGAGAGTGCAAAAGTTGGCTTGAAACTCAACATTAAGAAAACCAAAATCATGGCATCCGGTCCTCTCAATTCCTGGCAAATAGATGGGGAAGAAATGGAGGTAGTGACAGATTTTATTTTTCTGGGCTCTAAGATCACCTCAGATGGGGACTGCAGCCAAGAAATTAAAAGACGCTTGCTCCTGGGGAGGAAAGCTATGGCAAATCTAGACAGCATTCTAAAAAGCAGAGACATCACCCTGCCAACAAAAGTGCATATAGTCCAGGCCATGGTTTTCCCAGCTGCAATGTATGGCTGTGAAAGTTGGACCATAAGAAAGGCTGATCACCAAAGAATTGTGGCCTTTGAACTATGGTGCTGGAGAAGACTCCTGCGAATCCCTTGGACTGCAAGGCGTTCAAACTGGTCAGTCCTAGAAGAGATCAACCCCGACTGCTCTTTAGAAGGCCAGATCCTAAAGTTGAAACTCAAATACTTTGGCCACTAATGAGAAGGAAGGACTCACTGGAGAAGGGCCTAATGCTGGGAAAGATTGAGGGCAATAGAAGAATGGGACGACAGAGAATGAGATGGCTGGATGGAGTCACTGAAGCAGTAGGTGTGAATTTAAATGGACTCCAGAAGATGGTAGAGGACAGGAAGACCTGGAGGAATGTTGTCCATGGGGTCGCGATGGGTCGGACACGACTTCGCAATTAACAACAACAACAACTGCAGGCCACTTTAGCTGACTGTGTTCAGTAGGTCAGCGGTTCAAATCTCACGGCTCAAGGTTGACTCAGCCTTCCATCCTTCCGAGGTAGGTAAAATGAGGACCCAGATTGTTGGGGGCAATGTAAAATATATATACATTGCTTACTGGTGTACACCGCTTAGAGAGTGCTTGCACTTAAAGCGGTATATAAGTCTCATAAATAAATAAATAAATAAATAAATAAATAAATAAGCCGCGCTTCTGTCTCAATTCCGAGTGGTTCGCTTTGTTCTGTATCCTTTTCTCTGGATTTAGAAGATATTTCGGATATTTGTAGCTTCTGGTTATTTGCCTATTGTAGTTCTTTGCTGCTGGAATCCTATCCTAGGGATTTACATCATGAAACTATAAAACATTTAACAATAAGATGCCATCAGAATGAAATCAGTCAGGTGTAAAAATACAAGTAATGCAAATAGGAAAAATGCAAACATAGTGGTGATTCATTCTCCAAATGTTCTCTTTTGCGGAAATTCATTCTTCATTTCCTGAAGGTTAACAGTGAATTTGTTAATGCAACCTTGAAAGGGAAGCAATCCCATAATATGGCAGCTGCAATTGGGAATACTGTTTGCAGGCCTCTGCCCGTTTCATTTCATGGTCCTGTGGGTTCTTCAAAACATTTGAAGGAATATTTGTACTTTTGTACTAAAGAAGTTGGATAGGCCACTTTTATGTGATGCTTGAGCCATGGGTTTAAAGAAGAAAAATAACACAGGAAGATGGTTTATGAAGTGAGGGAACTTGTTGATGAAGCAAACCACTGTTCATTATCTTTGAAAAATCCTAGAAAATCAATGAAATGTGAGAATATAGTATTAGAGAAAGGGAAACATTATCCTTTGAAAGCTACATACCATTCAGCGTTCCATTGCTTGAAAGACTTTAGAAGAGATCAAGTAGTTAATCTACAAACTTACTGAAAACTGTGGAATAGTATTAGAAATCCTTATGGGTTTATTAAGAATGCATCATAATTAACTAATTTTATTTCATATTTTGATTAGGTGTCTTCTGTAAGTGTAGGGGTTCTCTCAAAGTGTGTAGTAGTGCGATCTTCTAAAAGAATGCATCTTTGTGCAACTTCATCATGAATAAAACTAAAAAATAAAACTATTGTGACTGGAAGATAGTTCTGACAGAAGTTAGACCTTTAAGCCTAGCCATCTCTTAAAATTAGTTTTGGGCTTTACTCCATATGAACTTACTTTATATTAACAGACTCACAGTAGGTTAGTCCAGACAAAGCACAAACAAGTTTTAAAGTGCTTCCACTTTGTTTGCACAAACTTGATCAGCATTTTTTAAAAATTACAATTTTTCTATATTGTGACCTCTGGAAAATTGCAACCCATAATTTCAGGATCTCAGCCTTAGTAGATTGTGGATATTGTGTGCATAATTTGATATTAGTAAATCATTTGAGGACAAATTTGTACAATTCTGATCTAAGTACTTAATCATGGGCTGGAGGGCCAGTTTGATAGGTGGATTTAATGCTGTCTTGAAAGCCATGTTTAGGGAGTGCTCATTGAAAATTCTTTCTTCAACTAGAATCAGATATCGGTGCTGTGCTGGTACCAGGCCTCTTGTTACTTTTCAACACTTTTATGCAATATTTTAAGATTTACTACAATAGGCATAAAAGAGAATGAGCAGATGACTGCTTCTTATGAAAAGACACTGAGAGAAGCATTTATGTTTGGCTTTAATAAAATATGACAAATAGGAGCTGTGATCTCTATCATCCAAATGCAGGAGAATTAATAATTATTTTAAGTTACAGAAAAGCAGATTCCAGAAAATGTTTTTAATGATAAGAGAAATTTGATGCTAGAAGCAGTTGTGAGATTCTCTTCCTTTCATTGGACGTGTTTAAGCAGAATCTGGAGAGCCATTTGATAGAGATGCTTTAATTTATATTCTAGCATACAGATCCAATAATTTAAATGATCCCTTCTCATTTTTTTACGAAACAAGAAAAGAGGTTTACTTTTAGTACTGAGTTCTTGAATCAGAAGGTATATTAGCAGTCCTAGGATGTGTATATGATTGTTATTACTATTACTGCATTTCATTGGAGAATACAGGTAGTCCTTAACTTACAACCATTCATTTAGTGACCATTCAAAATTACAATGGCACAGAAAAAAATGACATGACTATTCCTCACACTTAGGAACATTACAGCATCCCCACAATCAAGTGATTAAAATTTGAGCGCTTAGCAACCAGCATCTATTTACAACAGTTGCCATTTCCCAGGGTCACATGATTGTCACTTATGACCTTTCCAGTCAGCTTCGCACAAGCAAAGTCAATGGGACAAGCCAGATTTGTTTAATGACTGCATAATTCACTCAATTGTAGTGATTTGTTTAACAACCATGGCAAAAAAGGTTATAGAATTGGGCAGGAGTCACTTAACAATCACTTTGTTTTGCAACATAAATTCTGGTCCCATTTGTGGTCACAAGTTGAGGACTATTTGTAGTAAGTGATAGTTGCTTGAGGTATATATTCTGTGCTATCTTTCCAATTTGCAAGCCATCAATTTGACTGAAATTTAATTCATACTATGTAATTGATGAGAATAGGTATCTGCTTTGACATTAGGGTTTGTAGAGTTACAGAAGTGGAGTTCTGTAAGCATTTTTTACATTTCATTGTTGGAATAATTTATAGAATCTGTGTTGGTTTTAAGAAATGTCTCCCCAATTCTTCCTACAACAGGGAGCAAGATAGCTGGAGGAGAACTGCTGAGGAGGTAGAGGGGACATTTAGCCTGTAGCTTTTGAGTTTGTAGAGGCAGACAATGGAATTAGACTGGGCTACAACAGAATCCTTTGCTGCCGGAGATTATCCTTATTTTGTTTTATTCTGTGCAGTTCTGTATCATGAAACATTTACTTGCCCCAGAGTTAGCTCTTTAATTGTTTTCAGTAAATCAATCTTTGATATGATTAAATCTGTACAACCAGAGTCTATAATTGTTTATAACAAGTAATTTACATATGCAATGAGGTATGTAATTTTTATTTAATGATAAGGAAAGAATGTGCATCCTTTTCAAGGCAGCCATTTATCATTTGTCTAACTTGAATGTAATTCTTTTTGTTCATTCTTTCACTTATATTCCATTGTTTTACATGTAGGTATTTAAGATCATTCTAAAACCTAAAAACCAATATAGTTTTCAGAATAAAATTTTGTATGGATCTTCTCTTTAAGATAAAGTTACATAATAAGATTTTGATTCTTATTTAGTAGAACAAATTATTTATGCCCAATCTGTTTTTTTTCTTCTTAATTACTTTGGGATTCAAAAAACCAAACAGTCTGAATTACATTAACTAAGCAAATTTAGGCACCTAGTAAAATAGTGTTTCCTTTATTTATCCATTAGGTACTATCTTCAGTTAGATTATTATTTCCAAAAGTAAACAATGATGGCTGAGAACCTAGACAAGTTCCTTGAACAGAAAGCGAGGTTGTTACAGGACAAGGCAAAACTTGAAAATGATCCCCCATATATGGAGATGCAGGTAAGATTTTATTTTAAAACAAATACATTAACTCAGCACTCTTCTTTTAATTTTGCTTCTGTAGTTCAGGTTAAAGATCTTTCTGTCCAATGGTCCAATCACATTGTGATTTGCTGTTTAATCCATATTAGACTATACCTACAAACTTCACAGAGGGGATGAACAATACAATATACATATTCCTCTATTCCCGTGGTGGCGAACCTGTGGCATGTATGCCACATGTGGCACGCAGAGCCCTCTGGGCACGCGTAGCGTCACCCCAGTCCTAGGCCTTCAGCTGGATTTTATAAAACCTTTTCACTTTAGGCCTCCGCCACCATGTGCAAAAAAAAAAAAAAAAAGGTCCAATCAATCAATTTCAACTTCTTGCAGGAAAAAAAAAACTTGCAAAGTTGGAATTGATTCATTGATCTTTTTAGTCCCACCCAGTCTGCTATTACTATCGCAGCCACACCCACCCAATGGGCCACGCCTACCCAGCACCTGATGATACATAAGTGGGTTTTGGGTTGCAGTTTGAGCACTTGGTCTCTAAAAGGTTCGCCATCACTGCTCTATTCTATACAGTTAGCTGACTAACTATTCTTATGATTCAAAATTATGCAGTTCAAAAGCTTATATTGTTAATGTATTTTGGAGAAAAAAACCCTGATATATCAAGGAAACAGGACTGTCTTGCTCTATTAGATAAATCTTCTGTTGAAAAATATGAGAATTACTGAACTTGTTTTCTTCACTACTCCATTAACACTAGCTATCAAACCAAAAATTGGAAGGAGAGGGTGAAGAATCACCAGAAAGCTAGTTCTATGTGTTTTTTATGCTTTTTCTTACTCAGAGTAGCACAAATTGGTACCTTTTGCATACATTTGTTTGTGCCTTACCATTTTTTCTTTTTCAGAATAAAAGTGCAGAGAAACTTTCAAAGGCTAGTGAATTATTAATCTCCATGGCTAAAGAAAACATCCCACCGAATAGTCAACATACTGCTTTGCATGGTATTATTTTTTTCTAATGGTTATTGTGTTGTAGTCAGTGGGAAATGGTTACATTGATCTAAAAGTTGAATTTATTGTATCCTTGTTATCATAGGTTCAAAATTTTTTAAGCTAAGTTTTTAAATATGATGTGATAAGCCCGAATGACCTGGTTCATTGTTGTTGTTGTTAATTGCGAAGTCGTGTCCGACCCATCGCGACCCCATGGACAACGCTCCTCCAGGTCTTCCTGTCCTCTACCATCTTCTGGAGTCCATTTAAATTCACACCTACTGCTTCAGTGACTCCATCCAGCCATCTCATTTTCTGTCGTCCCCTTCTTCTATTGCCCTCAATCTTTCCCAGCATTAGGCTCTTCTCCAGTGAATCCTTCCTTCTCATTAGGTGGCCAAAGTACTTGAGTTTCAACTTCAGGATCTGGCCTTCTAAAGAGCAGTCGGGGTTGATCTCTTCTAGGACTGACCGGTTTGAACGCCTTGCAGTCCAAGGGACTCGCAGGAGTCTTCTCCAGCACCATAGTTCAAAGGCCTCAATTCTTTTGCGCTCAGCCTTTCTTATGGTCCAACTTTCACAGCCATACATTGCAACTGGGAAAACCATGGCCTGGACTATACGCACTTTTGTTGGCAGGGTGATGTCTCTGCTTTTTAGTATGCTGTCTAGATTTGCCATAGCTTTCCTCCCCAGGAGCAAGCGTCTTTTAATTTCTTGGCTGCAGTCCCCATCTGAGGTGATCTTGGAGCCCAGAAAAATAAAATCTGTCACTACCTCCATTTCTTCCCCATCTATTTGCCAGGAATTGAGAGGGCCGGATGCCATGATTTTGGTTTTCTTAATGTTGAGTTTCAAGCCAACTTTTGCACTCTCCTTCTTCACCCGCATCAAGAGGCTCTTTAGTTCCTCTTCACTTTCTGCCATTAGAGTGGTATCATCTGCATATCTTAGGTTGTTGATATTTCTCCCGGCAATCTTAATTCCAACTTTTGATTCATCTAGCCCTGCCTTTCTCATGATGTGCTCTGCATATAAGTTAAATAGGCAGGGCGACAGTATACAGCCTTGCCGGACTCCTTTTCCAATTTTGAACCAATCAGTGGTTCCGTGTCCAGTTCTCACTGTTGCTTCTTGACCCGCATATAGGTTTCTCAAGAGACAAATGAGATGGTCTGGTACTCCCATCTCTTTAAGAACTTGCCACAATTTGTTGTGATCCACACAATCAAAGGCTTTTGCATAGTCAATGAAGCAGAAGTAGATGTTTTTCTGGAACTCCCTAGCTTTCTCCATGATCCAGCGTATGTTGGCAATTTGATCTCTAGTTCCTCTGCCTCTTCGAAATCCTGCCTGTACTTCTGGTAGTTCTCGATCCACATACTGCTGGAGTCTAGCTTGTAGGATTTTAAGCATAACTTTACTAGCATGTGAAATGAGTGCAATGGTGCGATAGTTTGAACATTCTTTGGCATTGCCTTTCTTTGGAATTGGAATGTAAACTGACCTTTTCCAATCCTGTGGCCACTGTTGAGTTTTCCAAATTTGCTGGCAAATTGAGTGTAGCACTTTTACTGCATCGTCTTTTAAGATTTTGAATAGCTCAGCTGGAATACTGTCACCTCCACTAGCTTTGTTGTTGCTCAGATTTTCTAAGGCCCATTTCACTTCACATTCTAGGATGTCTGGTTCGAGGTCAATGACCATCTCATTGTGGTTATCTGGGATGTTAAGCTCATTCTTGTATAGTTCTTCTGTGTAGTTTTGCCATCTCTTCTTAATCTCTTCTGCCTCTGTTAGGTCTCTGCCATTTTGGTCCTTTATCATGCCCATCTTTGCATGAAACGTTCCCTTCATATCTCCAATTTTCTTGAAGAGATCTCTGGTCCTCCCTGTTCTGTTGTTTTCTTCTATTTCTTTGCACTGTTCATTTAAGAAGGCATTCTTATCTCTTCTAGCTACTCTCTGGAATTCTGCATTCAATTGGGTGTATCTTTCTCTTTCTCCTTTGCCTTTCGCTTCCCTTCTTTCCTCAGCTATTTGCAAAGCTTCCTGAGACAGCCATTTTGCTTTCTTGCATTTCTTTTTCTTTGGGATGGTTTTAGTTGCTACCTCTTGTACAATGTTGCGAACTTCCATCCATAGTTCTTCAGGCACTCTGTCTATCAGATCCAGTTCCTTAAATCTATTTGTCACCTCTACTGTATATTCATCAGGAATATGATTTAGTTCATACCTGAGTGGCCTAGTGCTTTTCCCTACTTTTTTCAATTTAAGCCTAAATTTTGCAACGAGAAGCTCATGATCTGAGCCACAGTCAGCTCCTGGTCTTGTTTTTACTGACTGTATAGAGCTTCTCCATCTTTGGCTGCAGAGCACATAGTCAATCTGATTTCTATGTTGACCGTCTGGTGATGTCCATGTGTAGAGCCGTCTCTTGGGTTGTTGGAAAAGAGTGTTTGTTATGACCATCGTATTCTCTTGACAAAATTCTATTAGCCTGTGCCCTGCTTCATTTTGTACTCCAAGGCCAAACTTGCCTGTTATTCCGGTTATCTTTTGGCTTCCTACCTTAGCATTCCAATCCCCCATGATGATAAGGACATCATTTTTTGGTGTTAATTCTATAAGGTGCTGTAGGGCTTCATAGAACCGGTCAATTTCATCCTCTTCAGCACCAGTGGTTGGGGCATAGATTTGGACTATTGTGATATTGAATGGTTTGCCTTGGATTCGAATTGAGATCATTCTGTCATTTTGGGGATTGTATCCCAGTATTGCTTTTCCTATTCTTTTATTGACTATGAAGGCTACTCCATTTCTTCTGAGGGATTCTTGCCCACAGTAGTATACCTGATGGTCATCTGAGTTGAATTCACCCATTCCTGTCCATTTTAGTTCGCTGATTCCTAAGATGTCGATGTTCATTCTTGTCATCTCTTTTTTGACTACGTCTAGCTTGCCTTGATTCATGGATCTTACATTCCAGGTTCCTATGGAGAAAAAATCTTTACAGCATCGGACTTTCCTTTCACCACCAGATATATCCACAGCTGAGCGTCCTTTCGGCTTTGGCCCAGTCGCTTCATTCTTTCTGGCGCTACTAGTACTAGCCCTCTGCTCTTCCCCAGTAGCATATTGGACACCTTCCGACCTGAGGGGCTCATCTTCCAGCGTCATATCTTTTTGCCTTTTAGTACTGTCCATGGGGTTTTCATGGCAAAGATACTGGAGTGGTTTGCCATTTCCTTCTCCAGTGGATCACATTTTGTCAGAACTCTCTGCTATAACCTGTCCGTCTTGGGTGGCCCTGCACGGCATAGCTTATAGCTTCATTGAGTTACGCAAGCCCCTTCGCCACGACAAGGCAGTAATCCATAAAGGGGACCTGGTTCATACTTCATGTTTAATGGATATCTTTGCAGTGTAAAGCTTTTTTGAGGGAAGGCGGGATGTCATTTGATTTAAAAAAGGCCCCTGTGTACCCTGTCACCTCCATCCCTCGACCCAACTATATTGAACTCTTACCTTGCCACCAACCATCTTTTTAGAGAAGGTATGGTGTCAGGACTCACTTAGGCATGGTGGGTGATCTTCACTGGGACCTGGATGAATAAATGCCCCATTTCTGGTACTGTTAGACTCTTGGTTGGGTTCAGAACTGTGGACCATGATGTCTTTCTAGACCATCTGTAAGAGCTGAGGACTGAGGGCATTATTCTTTGATGGTTCCAATCTTATCAAGCAGTTAATTCCAGTTTCTAGTCATTGCAGGAAGAGCAGTTGCTTCAATATGAGACTGCAGGACTTGTTTATCCTTCCCATGTTTATTAATGCCTGTATGCAACTACTGGTCATTTATTCTTTGGAATAAAATATCCTTAGTATACTGATGATGTATACTCATCATGTTTAACTGTATATTGCCACTTCAGATAAGGTCAGTGGTTTAATGGATTGAATGTACAGATTAGGCTGTAGCAAGATGAAAGTGTTGGTAGTTTGTAAACATCTTGACAGAAATATCGGTCTCAGTGGTAGTTCTAAGTCCCCAAAAGAGTAGATCTATGTCTTGACTTATGGTTCCAGCTGGAATAGCAATTGAAACTATAGCAAGGGAGGTTTGGCAATGGTAACTCAGACTTGATCATCATGGAACAAAACTGCACATAGAGTTGCTTTGAAAATGAGTCTGAAACTGCATTTGATTCTGAATATATTAACTAGACTGCTATTAGGGGAAACCTGCTATTGCAGGGTTAGGGCTATTTGGGGGTCACTGCACTGGACTTCTGTTTGCAATTTAGCATGCTTACTATTACCTAGAAGGCCCTATAAAGTATTACTAGGTTTTATCAGGACAATATTAAAATGACTTACTAACATGATCCTGCCTATCTTACATGGACACCTAGAAAGAACCTGCTCAAAGTCTCCTGTTGAGAGCAGATAAGATAGGCGTAAGCCAGAAAGCAGTATCTCTCTGTACAGTCTCCCATTGTGGATCATGTTCCCGCCAGTGGTGTTCTTTGTCTTTTCTCTTTTTATGTCTATAGAGGTTCTTAGTCATCCAGGTCATAGTTATCCCAAGGGTACTTTTTCACGAGGCAACTGGACTTTCTTGTTTTTCTTTGAAGACGTTTTGCTTCTCATCCAAGAAGCTTCTTCAGCTACTACAATTATTACAAGTGAGAGGAATATGCCACTAATTACAGTTTTGTTGATATAATTTATGTAACATAATATAATTGGAGAGGAAAAAAAACAGTGACAAAAAATTAGATGAAAGAGGCTGGAAATCCAGACACTGGATTTCTTAATAAAACATTGGTTGGGAAAAGAGCCTGTTAATTTTTTACTAATGCCGCTTTTTTACTTTGCCATTTTCTTTTCTCTTCATCCAACCCGATCTCTTTGCCAGAAAATGTATAAATTGTTACATTTTTGCATATTGAAGCAAAGTTCATATGGAATGTCCATACTTTCATACAGTATTTATGATAAAACCTTTGTCTTAATAAATAGGAATCTGGTGTTTAATTAAGATCAGAATAGTTTTCTTGTTTACTTCTTTTCCGTAAAAAAACTTTGATAATTTAAAAGATCAGGAAGAATACATTTATGAACTGTTTTCTTTTCTATACTAAAAGATCATAGATACTTTTGTAATTTACCATTGCTGAACATATATATGCTTAGAAGTATTTGGTGTTGTGAGTAGTCTGGCAGTGGTAAAAGTGACATCACTAGAAGTGACCTAAAATAACAATTAAATGTAGCTTACCCTCAGAGGCCTCTTGGGGAAACATCATGACAGCACCAAAAGTAGTATGTGTTCCATATTTGGATTTTGATTTGTAAATGTTTTGATCTTAGAAAGTAAAAATCACCTTGTTCAAATAAGCCAGCTGTAGTCTAACATACTAGCAGTTACGAGCTTGATGAATTTGGAAATTTCATAAATAAGGATAATTTAGTGAACATTTTCCTTGGTTGCTTTACTATTTGAAAAAATACATATCAATGAAAGTTCCTATTTTGGGTGGTAGTAACTACTGCTATACCTGCATATGGTATACCACTTATTAATCTATTTAGCATATAAAATTTAGCATATTTTATTTACCAAAACAGGACTGTTGCTTTCAGGTTAAATTAACTAATACATGTAATATTGCTCATTAATGCATTCTCCATAGTTGCAAAATATTGATAATAGTACAAAACAGATTATTAGTACTTATTACTATTAGTACATTTGTATGTACAGTATTACCGAGCAATTGATCATGAAATTTATGAAATCCAACTGCCATTGAAAAGAGACCAAGCATTATGGCTAGGTATATTTAGCTATCTGCTTTCCAGTAAGCTGTAAGGATCTCTTACAGTTATCCTTGTTGAAAATATTTCCATGATGTCATAGAGGGCCAGTGCTCATAAACTGCTGTTATGTTATATGCTTATTATGAAATATAATGCATTATGAGGTTCAGCAAGCTCCCAAATAAATAGTCTCAGTTGTATATTTTTTTCATAAGCTAGAGCTCAGTTTGACAAACATGCCTAAAGTTTAAATGTTGTGCGACCTTGGAGATATTCTGTATTTTCCTGTCATATTACTCTGTTAATCATCTTAATCCTCTGCTACTTTTTTATACCAGAAAAGTTCCTTTGCTTCTTAAAAAAATCATTGACATTATGAAGTCTAATCAAACTCATACTGATGTGCAAGACAGATCCACTAAGTTTAATGGAGTTAAAGGAGTATTTAGTTATGTAAATATTCTTAATGACCCTGACCTGATGTAGCCTCCCTAGCACAAGACCCATCACAAGCCTCTCACTGATGATTCATAGGTGACCCAACACAAGACCCTCACTTGACACACCCACACCTGAAGCCCTTATAAACAGAACACTGACATCCCCTAAACTCCGCTGAAGATGTTACCTAGCTTGGTAACGAAACTTTCACAAACCAACCCACAAGCTCGAAGAACGAACCTTCACCCTCTTCCTACCTTCAAGCTACAGATATTCGCCACTATTGCATACTGAATGTTTATTTCTATTTATGTTTAAAAGTTTTTAATATTTTAATTATTTTAACTAGTTGCTTTCTGTCTGCTGCCCAGACTTACATTGTGAGATCGGCAGCTATATAAATCCAATAGATGCAGATTTAGCCATTAATCTTGTATTGTCTTTATGACTAGTTCCATAACATTACATCTGAGATTCTGATATTAGGGTTTGCTCTTACTTGTTAATTGTGGCTTTTGTTTTTTTATTTAAATAACTGGATTACATGGCATCTATTCTTAAAGTCAGCTGGATGACCCTGGGCCAGAACATATTTATATTTATTTTTCTGATTCCTTTTGGAGAAGAAAGTTTAAATAAAATAGGGGAAATTAGTATTTCTAATATCTAAACAGAGAGACAGTTTGGTGTAGTGGTTAATTCATCAGGTTAGAAATTGGGAGACTATGAGTTCTAGTTCTGCATTAGGCCCTAAGCCAACTGGAGACCCTGGGTCTGTTTATCTTAGCCTTAGGAAGAAGGCAGTAGCAAACCATTTGTGAAAAATCTTGCCAAGAAAACTGCAGGGCCTGGGTCCAGGCAGTCTCCAAGAATCGGACAAAATTGAATGGAAGAAAAAAAAAAAGCTAGATGCAATAGGTATTTATTATTTTCTTCACTCAGCTGCTTGTAACAAATACAAATTGGTTACTAGTTTCAGTGATGTCCTAAAAGTGCTTTTTTCCAAAAGGTAGCTGGTCTTCGTTTTTTCCTTGAAGACATTTTGCTTTTAATCCAAGAAGCTTCTTCGGTTTGAGCTTGAGCTGAAGAAGCTTCTTGAATGAGAAGCAAAATGTTTTTAAGGAAAAAAAAAAACGAAGTCCAGTTGCCTTTTGGAAAAAAGCACTTTTGGAACAACCGTCACTTGGATGAATGAGAATCTCTATAAACATTTAGTTTCAGTGATAATTACCTGACTCATGCTACAAAGATGGCTCAACTCTCTTAGCTAGTTGATAAATAGAATTGTAGCAGTTCAGCAGGATATTTGGCACAGATATTTTACATCAAATTCTGGCAGGGATTGAGCATAGAATTTTCTACAAGGCTTATGCTTTGCTGCTGAGTTGCAATCCACTCGGTAGAAGGTCTGCAAGTGAACTACAGGAAAAAGATGATGAACCCTGTGACTCTCGGAATTATATTGCATTGGAACTTTATTGCTTCCAGTTGTTATATCCTACTTCAATTATTTAATCCAAAAAATTAGTTGACTGAAGATCCTTTATATCTGCAATGATTAAAAAGGTTTCTGAACACTGTGGAAAATACACATGTTGGATATAGCTTGGAAGTTGTGTCAGATGCATCTTCGCAGTGAAGTAAGCCTACATGGTGTTATATACAGTACTGTATTGCTCAAAAAGCTCTTATTGATGATCTTTCCTGTTTTAATAATTGTAACAAGGCTATGTTTATATCCTTAAGAACACTCTGTGGTGAGAGAGCATTTTAAATCCCTGATCATAATTTTTGAAACTGGAACTTTTTCAATTCCGTTTTTTTACAGGGTAATAGAAATATTAATTTACCTTTATTTGAATAAATTATCATGTTTCTTACACTGGGATAGTTGCACAGTCCATTGATAAGAACTGTGTTGTATTTTGTAGACTATGGCTTAAGCTTGCCTCTGGGGGAGGATTATGAACATAAAAAACACAAACTAAAGGAAGAACTTCGACAGGACTACAGGCAATACCTTTCACAAGTAAGAAACTAACTTATTAAAACTTTAATACTGGTTTGTGAAGCAAAAATACATTAAAACTAAATTTCCTAAGAATTGAATACATTCATTTCTAGAATTTATTGCTATGTCGTGTCAGGATATTAGATGCTATGTAAAATATCCATGACAATAAATTATTGGAAAAAGCTGCTTTCAAAGGAGTTTGGTTGGAGGAGCCAAGGGAGAAATTGTATTTTGAAGGGATGAATACCTAGTTTAATTTACATTTAAACAAAAACTATCCAAACACATTTTAGACAATGTGTATTGTAAGCCTATCCTTTATGATTAGTTTATGGTGCATTGTATTGTAACCCAGAAAATTGGGTTTCTGTTAACTAGGACAGTGGGAATTGTTAAAAGAGATGGATCGGATTAGAAAAATGAACCATTTGGGGGGGGGGGAAGGAGAGAGATAGCCAAAACCACAACATAAATAGCTCATATTTTTGAATTGTGTTATAGGTCAGGTTTTGGAGAGTCAAAAACTTCACTTTTTCATTTTTCCTTGAGCAATAGAAAGCATGGGGAGCAGGGCACCAATATCACATAAATGAGCAAGGCTTTTATTTATACAGGTAGTCTTCAATATATGACCATAAATGAGCCCAGAATTTTGATTGTAAGTCATCCCTGTCATGAAACAAGGTGACCATCTTGTTCAATGACCACAATGTGAGTTTTCCCCATTGCAATCGTGCCTTGGGGTGGAAGAAGCCTTGGGAAATCTGCAGACTGGGAGGTGTCAGTCAGCTAGACCCACTGTCACACAGACTCTCTTCTTGCCCCATCATGCCCATGTCCACTTATCTTTCTATTGCTTTGCTCCATCTTGCACGTGAGTCTCATTCTTGTGATGGTTTGGAAAGTGTGATTTGGAGAAGAGTCTTCCAAACCACTGTAAACATGATGCGTTTGCTAGAGTTTACTCCTCTGGAGAGGAAATCTTAGTGAAGCTGGCATTCTGAAAGGCTTAGAGACTCACTGTTTCATAATGCTGATGCTGAGGGCTTTTAGCATTCTCTCCTCTGGAATTCTACCTCTTTCACTAGAAGCCTTTTTCATCTCCTGAAACTTTTATCGTTTTCTCCTTCAGAGAAATGCTGAGGCACAGAGGAGAAGAATACTAGCAGAAGAGGTGGACTGAAATGCCGAGCCTTCAGAATCTTGCAGAGCCTTTCAGAATGCTGGCTTTGCTAGCATTTTTGGCAGATTGAGGTCCATTCTTTCAGGTGTAGGATGCTTTCCCTATCCAGCAGAGAGGGTAGAGTAAATTTCTGGGGGAATGGACCTCAAATCCTCACTTGCAACCTCCCCTATGGGCTTCCCAAGAACCTGCAAAGAAGATTGCATATGGTGATCACATGATCACAGGTTACCTGGCAAAATGCAGGCATGTGAGGGCAGTGTAACATTTTATGATGCCTAGACGTGCTTTACAGGTGGTAAAGCACCATGGCTGTCATGACTGCAAATGGTTGTTAAACAACCTGTCATAAGTTGAGGACCATGTGTAACACTTTTTAAAACACTGCTGTGAGTGGTTATGTTTTGGTATATTTTTGGCGTGTGTGAAACTTGACCCTAACTTTTAAACATTTTATTTATTGACACAAGAAGTAGCAGGAACCTCTACCTCAAAATTTCAATTACGTTTAGTTAACATTGTTGTGATGTGTTATTTGACCATATTTAAGGAATTGCAGGTCAACCAGCGTTATTCAGACAAATGAAACCAGGCTGAGTGAAATGATACATCTATCTAGATTAAACATGTTAGAGGGATTTTACTCACAGATAAATGGAAGATAAAAATATTGAAGAGGCAGTTGGAAATAGAAGGGAACAAGAGAAGATAATGCCTGAAAAACAGAGGCAGTTGAAAAAAAATCCCAGAAGACTATTTATCTATTCAGTACAAAAAAGTGATACATGAATTTGGATTAGAAAAATAATTTTAGTATATAATTAAACTTAGCTTCAAAAGATGAAGTAGCATCAAATAATGTTTTATATCATATTTAATATCATTAATATATATATGATACTTCACAAAGTAATGGCAGGAAGAACAAACTTGGTTAACAATTAATTTTAAAAAAATATCTAGTTTCAGATGTTTTAAATTCTTTTGTGCTGAATTTTCTGTAGGTGCTTGAGTTTGTGCAATGATACAGTAGCAAAGATAATAACCCTAATATGTATAGGAGATTTTCCAGTGACAGTTTTCCAAAATATTGGAAATGTTTTTAGAAGTAGTTAAATTTAATAGTGTAAATTAATATATTAGATATTGTTTACTGCAGTTTTTATGAATCAGCATCTTTAAATTGTTTTCAATTTGCACATGTCTAAAGGAGGAAAAAGATTCAGAACTATTGTTGACAGAATATTTTTAAGATGAAATCTGTTTTCCAAACTTTTAGGGTATGTCACAGGCAAAAAAAAAGGTACGATGCTTGCATTATGCTACTCTTCAAATTAATATCTCACTTTATTTGAATGTGCTATTAAAAAGTCTTGGGTGAAAAATCAGTCTTTGTGCTTGGCTTTGTTTTGTGGCTGTCCCATCATTAAAAAATTGATTTTCACATGATATTCATAATTTTCTGTTCATTTCATCTTAAATTGTACAGATGGTCTATCCTGTATTTCAATGCAAAATTGATAATTCTGTATTACCTAAATATAATGAATTCAGGACATACAAAAATGATTATCAGTTTATATTAGCTTTAAATTATTTCTACAACATATAAGAATCATTTGATATTTATTTCATTTTTTATAGAAAAGATATTTAATATCAGGTGAAGTTGATCCATATACTCAGGGACTTTCTCTTCCTATTTGCGACAGAAGATCTGCCAAGGTAAGTTCTTGGAAACTTAAACAATTTGCAGAACTGTTATGATTTGCAAATATATATTTTGGTGTATTTTAATTTGCAAACTAGAAAATAAAAAGTTTAACAATAAAAACTAACTTGATGCAATAAGTGGTGTAAAGTAAGATTTAAGTTCAAATTCTTTTGGTGCTATTTTTTAAAAACTAGTCTGCCTGTTACTTTACCAACTTCTGATTTCAAAATAATTTCTCCATGTGATTGGATAACTAAATTACAGTAGTGCATTCCTGCTGGCATGTATAAATGATCAAATAGTCAAGTTTCAGAGAAAATGTTCAGAGTACTTCCTTCTGATTTTATATTGTTAATGCTAAAAAAAATAATAACAGCTCTTGTGCTTTCAGAAATGAATATCAGATTATGATTTCCTTGTTCAAGTGAAACTTCGTTTTGCTTTGGCAAAATGCATTTTGCATTGTTGTGGTCCACTGGAATATGAAATTCTAAATAAACCTCAAAAACCTTGATTTTAGTTAACATGTAAGATTTTCAGTGTTTTTAGATATCTGTATAAAATTGAAATCTGAGGTTCTTTTTGCAATCTTGCTTCATATGTAGACAAATCATGTCCCTATGGTTTAAAACATTTTGCTGCTTCTGATATTTGTTTTAGGACAGGTTAAGACTTGAAAGAAACAAGGAATACAATCAGTATCTCAGGGAAAAGGAAGAATGGAATGAAAGGTTAAGAAAAGTAGGGAAGAAACAAATAGAGGTAAAAGATAGGTTTTTTTCAATCATACTGGAAACAATGGAATGATAACTATGATTAAGCTGTAAGAAAGATTAATTGAGGATTGACAATAATCTTTTTCCTATTCCTTTATATAAATACATTAGTTTATAAATATAGATTTTTGTGTACTTATGAGACAATAGTGGACTAACATAGGTAGAGGCAATATAATATTGGCTGGTTTTTTTCTAGATTTTTATATGACATCATTTAAACCTGCTATTTTTAACCTCTTTTACTTTTGCTTGCCATTTTTAAATATGTGAATGAGAGGGAAAAGTAATAATGATATTTTTGGCATATGTTTTTCTCTGTATTTATTTTAAAAATGCCTAGGCTACCTATCACCTCATATAAATTGATGTACAAAGAAAATGAAGTGTCAACTGTCTGAAAATTATACAATATCCCCTATAAAAGTGGGGGGGAAACCCTGAAATATAAAGCCATTTCAACCAATCCAATCCAACAGATTAAATTTATAAAAGGTTAAATGGCTGGAAAATATAAAAAAACTTAAGTTGATACCCAAACAAATGCAGGGTGCTAATTTGATATTTCTTGAGAGAGCGTTTTAAAGTCATGGCATTACCAAATATAAACCTCCTTCCACTTTATATCTTGTATTGCATGTGTTATATTGAAAGCAGTTCAATGTGGTTATTTAATGTGCAGTTACATTTCCTCTTGCTTTTTGAGTTGTTTGTGAAAATGGCTAATTAAAATTAAATGTGACTTAAAATTGAAGGAAATAAAACCAAAATAATTTTGTTGTATTTAGTCTTTAAATATTTGTCTTGTATTAACAGCATGACACAGATATCCATAAGCAAAATTTTGCTGTTAACAGAACCCAATCAGAATTATATGCTCCAAATGTGTCTTTTCAAAAAGATGAAGAATCCAGCAAGAAAGATGCTTGTACAGCTACAGATACCTATGATGGGTTATCAAATATAAGATTATTGTTAGACCAACAGCATAAACAAGATATTGAAACTGGTTTGGGGGATTCATTACTGAATAAAACACTTGATGAAAAACTGAACATTTCCAGTCGAAAGCAAGGAAAGCTGGATGGCAAATCGGATAACTATTTCCACAGACATCACAAGTGTGAGGATCATGATCCTGAAATAAATGATGAAATGGATCCCAGGTTTCGATATGAAAGTGACTATGACAAAAAACCATTGCGGGTCTTTCATGCCCAAAGGTAAATTTACCTTTCTTATTAGTGTACTTTGTGGTGAGTGATGGTAAGCATCTTTGTCCCTGAGTTCAACCGTCCCATGCCAGTTCTCTCTATCCTAGATAACTATTTTAAGGCTAGCAATTCTCCTATACTACTGTACTTCAGCTACCTTGTTCTGTATTCAGAACATTATAATATCATACTTATTCCATATTTGTAATGTTGAGTACAGTTTCCAGAAACTTTAAAGGAAATCTATACATATATTTTAACATAAAATGAATAAACACCGATCTTAAATGTATGCTGTTGAGATTATTTCATTTTGATACCTAGAATTTATTTCAAAATCTGAGGATCATGAAATCAGAATATTAAGTATCAGTATTTATAAGTGTTATGCTTTAAATTAGTATTTACATAAGAACATTACAATGCCTTAGAAATAAAGGCCCCAAATAAGCCCCTAGTCACAGTACTGTATGTGACACAATATTGCAGGTGCTATATATTTTTCTTCCTAGTAACTTCAGCACTTTGGTTTTTCCCTTACCTCTCAGCCTTTCTTAAATACTATGATTCAGTAAGGACTATCTTCTTCCCTTGAATAAAACTCTTCTTGTGAAAATTGAAATGTGTAGAATTATGATTAAATTCCCTGAAATAGTAGATCAGATTTGTAGTTGCAAAATATTTATTTTAAAACATGGATATGCTTTTATCAATTATTTAGGTATTCCTGCATGTATTGCTATCAGTGACAGATTAAAAAGGAGAGTAATACATGATTGATTAGTGGCTTCTCTTTACATTCAGGTACTCTTGGGTTATAACGGGAATTGGGACTGGAATTTCCATCAATAAGTGATGTGGTCATAAAGTATAATATCCCATGACTATCACTTAGCAATGGCAATCCTGGCAGTCTCAATTGCCACTGTTAACCAAATCCCACTAGTCATTAGGTGAGGACCCACCTAATAATCCAAGTGATTTCTGGCTTGGTCCCTCCTAGCTTGAGCCTTGGTATTGTAAGGAACTGCCTCCTCTTTAACTTTCCTCACCCACCTATTTCCCACCATTGTTATCCTTTTGACTGTCCTGACAATGGCACTGCTTGGTGGCAGAGGTAGCATTGGAGTTGAAATAGAGGCCCAGAGTCTTCAGATGGCTGCCACTGCCACCCCTGGACCTCAACTTCAAGTCCCATGCCATGGCCAGCCACCTAGTGCCACAGCACAAAGCCTCTACTGCCCCCATTGCTCTGTACTTCCTAGGCCCTGTTGCCCCCAGCTGATTTTCACTGTCTTCATTCCCTATGTGAGGCAGCTGGATGTGATAGGCCTTCTTTCAGAGGCTGCATGTGTGCCTCTTAAAATGGCATGCATGATGCTCCAAATTGTATGCTGCCTTCTCATGATGCTTCTCACAACGCTTCTTGCAATGTTCCTTACGATGCTTCTGAGCCCTTAAAAAGTATTGTGAGTAACTAAGAGCCATAACTTCAGGGACCAGTTGTAAATACCATTTGTTCAGTGCAAATGGTTAATGAATAAATCATTAATTGAGGACTAGTTGTATTAAGATTCATTTCCTGTTGAAGAATGATAAGGTGATGAGTGTTCCCCTGGGACTAGTACAATTTTTATCAGCATCTGTTTTGACACTTTTGCAACTTTGTCAGTTATACCTTTAAATAATATTTTAGATATTTTAGGATGTACCATTAAATCCTATTCTAAGTTTGCTTAAACATTCTATATTTTAAACAATGATTTAGTGTGGCTAATTTTTCATCTTTAATTTCAGAAGTCAAGGAAATTCTCCTATTGAGCAAGTACAGACTGCTGTTGATAGAGTTCCATATGCCACAGGACTAATACTTGGTATGTTTGAAAAACCGGGATACTGAAAAATGTTATATTTTGATACTACATGTAATTATTGCTCAGTTGTTTCTTATGATTAGCTCCTAATTAAACCAAAGAGTAATTAGGATTGATGACTGAGAAAAGGCCCCACTGGAGCAACCTTCTCAGGAATTCTGGCCAGCAGCTGAGATCCAGGAGATCATGGGGGCCATTGTCAAGAAGATAGATAGTTGGTATCCCAGGAGTAGCCTCAGCTTGTCAGAACAGCCCAATTTCATGCACATATTCATGCAGTCTAGTTATTGCAAATCTTCTTTCCTGAACCTGGTATCACAATAGCTATACGATCTAAAACTCAGCTTACCAGATTTCTGATAAGTTTATTTTTATCATTGCACAGGTCCACAACCTTTATCAACACTTTATGAGCACACAGATTATTATTGCACAGACCTGGCATTTATCAACATCAGTTAGAGACCAGTTCAGTCATTTGGACCCAGGATGGTGTAACCGACTTAGGAGGAAATTGTACTTACATGCAAATGAGATGGAGTGCAATATGAATTCAATAAATTGAATGTGACATGCCGACTTATAATGGTAGTTCTGGCAGTCCTAGTTGGCATTGTTAGGCAAATCCCACAAAATCAGTGTCCTGATTGCCATTTGTGATCTTCTGCCTTTGCTTTTCTGACAAGCAAAATCAATAAGGAAGCCGGCAGTGAAGGTAATAAATGGTGATCATATGATTTGGATGCTACAATTTCATAATTACAGGCTGGTTGCCAAGAGCCCGAATTTTGGTCATGTGACTATGGGGACTTTGTAACAGCTGCAACTACAAGGACTCATTCCTATCGTTCAGGGTAATTAGAATAGTTGCTGGACCTTAAATGAGGACTATACCTATTTCAAATACATGAGTCCCAGCTGCTGCTTTCTACATCTCATCTCTGATGTCAATATCAACAGCAACTCTTCCTCCTCAAACACCTGTCCATGGTGGGGGCACCATCCACATAGATACCTCCCACTACTAATGCGGCCTCCTATGTAGCAGATTTCTGGCAAACTGTTGCTTATTTCTGAAATATTTTCAGGTTTCAAAATTTCAAACTCCAAAATTTCTTGCATTTCATTGTTTTCTTTATTCTCAGATCTTCTAACTTGTCTTTATTCAAACAGTAATTTTCTCATTCTTATTTCCTCAATGCTTCCAACATTCTCACTTTAACTACACTCAAGAAAACCACTATTCTGATGGAGGAATTTAAAATATTAGATAGTTTAAAAACATTATAGTCTTGTTTCTTCTACTTTCTCATTCTCCAAAAAATAATATGAGGTGCCTTAGATAAAGCTGATTAAACATTGCATTATTCTCCACTACTTTTATTGGTTGCTGCATTTGAAATTTGAAAAAAAAATCAAGTCTGAAGACTGAGATATGGGGATTGGATCTCCTGAATTTTTTCTTGTTTGATTTTAGAGATCATCTGCAGATATGACTCCTAGTTAAGTAAGATAGAATTGTTGTGCTATTGTTTCTCTGAAAATTATTACTACTGATTTTTCAGTAATATGAAACATGGTTCACTAAAAATGGCAGAATTCCATATAATTATTAATTCCAATGGGAGTTCAGAACCATTTTATCTGGTTTGTTATCTAGTGAATAAGCTGTAATTCAGTTTTTGGTTGTAAAGATGTTTCTTACTATGGTTACCATGTTTACGGAGCTGTGCAGTAGGAATAAATATGGCATATTTTTGGCTGAAGAGAAAGATATTTGCTTCTGTGTTTATTTCCTTTTTTAGGAAGTCAAGACAGAGAAATTATTCAGAAAAGAAAAGAACAATATAGGCAAGAGTTAATAGAGCAAATGGCTGAGCAGCAAAGAAATAAGAGACGGTAATAGAAGACTGATGGTTAAAAATTATTTCATGATTGATTAGAATACCACTTTAATTTTTTACAGGTAAATTGTGTTTAGTGCAATATCGGATTTGGTGCAAACTATAAATTGATACCACGTCATCTTAACGCAATCCAGCATTCAGTTAGTGCAAGGCTGATGTGATGCATTTGGAGCAAGTGCATGCACAATTGCCACTAAGGGTTTAGATGCTAATAATTTTGTGTGAAAAATGGAGGAAAGGAAGGTTTCGCTCAAGAAAAACTCAGAAAAGAGGTTAATTTGAAAAATTACAACAGAATATATAAAATAAGCACATACATTTTGTAGATGGATTACTCTCTTTTACTGGTATACAGTACTTCATTAGTAAACATAAATTTTATATTTAAACATTTTAATTGCCTATTTATATTGAGCTGGAACTAATTAATCAAAGATAGATCACTTCAAATAGTGTGAATTCAAATACAGTAATGTGACCATTACGTAGGATTCATCAATTGCACTAATCAAGACCTATCTATGTTAGCACTTACATAAAATAATATATCCACATGATAACTTATAATTTCTTTTTCTGTCTGAATTGTATTTTAATCTTTGAATTGCATATTGGAAAAGAATATTCTCTCTAAAGTATATACATAACTACAGTGTAGTTTTTAAAGCAATTCATTTTGTAGATAATGTTGTATGAGCTTTCACAAATCTGATTGTAGCAGCTTTGGATATACACAGAATACATTTCTTTATAAAAATTTTAAAATTTTCCAGTATTAAGTATAAAATAGGGTCTAATGCAAAATACAAGTATTCATGTGCTGGTTTATGTAACTTTGCTTTATAACAAAAAGAAATTTGATTTTGTTCTAGATTTTATAAGAATGTTGTTTTAAATTGGTCAAAATTTATAGTAAAATGCGGTATGCTTTTAAAAAAAGCTATAGGTTGAGATGAAGGAAAAAGCTATAGGTTGAGATGAAGGAAATGTCCAAAATACAAACCTCATGACTGAAAACTTTTGGACATTCTCGAGTCTTCCCATCCTTTGAGATCTGTCTGCTGACATGCTTTGGAAAATGATGATGTTTTTATTTCCTTTTTATTAGTTCTAACATAAGTATCGGCCAGCTATGGATTTCTGAATTGAGGGATTTAGTTTATTTGATAGATCTATGGCTCTCTATGGATCATTAAATGGATCTGTTGGCCTTTTTTGTATCAGAGCACTGATTACAATGGCTTGAGCAGAAGAAGCTATTGCATTCCCAATGGGCTTGATGGTTCAGCTTGAATCTGAAAGATCTGGATTATTATGTTGAATTATCTTAGATAAATAAAATATCTCAAGCTAATATGTGTGTTAATCCTCAGTGAAAGTGTTTCTCCCTCTTTATTTTAATAGTGAAAAGGAGTTTGAACTCTCTGTTGCTGCATCGGGAATTGTAGACCCTGAGAAAAAGGTGAATTAATTATTCAGTTCTTTTTGAAGTCTAAACAACTGATTTAAAGTCTGTATGAGAATGTATGAGAGCTCTATTTTTAAATACCTACCTAGATTGGTCCATCTCATATTAGAAGATTAATAGGACTGCTTAACCACAGCTTTCTATTCTGATCATATTATGGAGGGATTGTTATTCAAAGAAGATATTTCTATCTAACAATTCAAATACTAGTCAGTTGGGAATAAATTGCAATAGAAGTGGATTTCAGCAATATAAGAAGGTAATAAGATTTTTTTTCTTTACCAAGCAGCAGACAAGGTTTAAATCATAACATCAATATAACTTTAAAAGTTTGCACAAGTCCCACAGTATATGTTTGTGACTCCTTAAAATAGCTCAATGTTTTCTGGGACTGTCACACAACTGTAAAGTGACCCCTTCTCTCCCTCCCCCCCAAAATAATGTCTTTGCTTTAAGGAGTTGGTTCTTTGTGTACATTCACAGGCATCTGAGTACTTTTTGTTTCAGAAGGAAACGAAAGTTTATGGAAAATTATTGTTTTTAACATTGTAAATGAAGCTTATATTCTGCACTGTTTAAAGTTATATCAGATGGGCATATTTTTCAGCTAAAGGTCACACTTATTTTTATTTTATTTTTTAAATTAGGATTCTGAGGGCTAAAGGAGATATGAGAATGGCAACAGTGATGTTACTGGATGGCATGTGCTTAAGCATTTGGGATTTTGGAGGGGTTGAGAGAGATTTAAGGCATGATTTGTGCATTAAGCCAATAAAACTTATAAAGGCAATATATTTTTAGGCTTTAAAAATGTAGAAGAGCCTGAAGTGAGCTGTTCATGCAAAGATACCCATAAACTCCCCTGAGTTGGAACTGATATGTAAGGGGGAATTGGCTAAAATTCCTCCAAGCCAATGTGCAGGATGAATAGCTAGTTATTGGAAGTATTTAGTGGCAGGTATTATTGCTTAAAGGGGGCATATGAGTTACTGAAAGCAAAGGATCACGTACTTTTGCCAAATGAAAATATGTAGCTTCGGATCAATTTCCTCAAATAAATGAACAAATATAATGCTTTTGACTCATTTGTTTAATTAACCAGTAGAACAGCTTGCCTTCAGAAGTCGCAGGGGCTTCATCACTGGAGGCTCTTAAGAAAAGACTGGACAGCCACCTATCTGAAATGGTATAGGGTCTCCTGCTTGAGCAAGGGGTTGGACCAGATCCTCAACCCCCGGTCCATGGACCAGTACCGGGCCACGGCATGCCGGCAACCAGTCCACACAACAAGTAAAGCCCCATGCATGGGATGCAGGCAGCACACAAAACCACGCACCCACTGGTTCCCAGAAAAACCTCTCTCCACAGAACTGGTCCCTGCTGCCCAAAAGATTGGGAACCTCTGGACTAGAAGACCTCCAGTGTCCCTTCCAGGTCTATTATCTAGTTTGATTGAATTGAGTCTTTATAGTTTTAGGACTTGTGTTGAAAACAATCATGTTTTAGGTCATATTTATGCAGAAATATTGAACATTCAAAAGTGTTCATAAACCTATAGCCATCACTGTATGTAAATTGTATTTTTGATACAATTTACATACAGTTTCTGTTCCCCCGTCCCACTCAATCCGTGACCTTAATAGAATGTCTGCTATGAGCTTGTTGTTTAGTGAAATATTATATATAAATGTCATAAATTCTTACTAGATGGTGCTCTGTTACATCATTAATAGTGTCATTCTGTAATGGAATCTATTTTTTTAAGAAAGAATAAGCTATATTGCCTTATCAAAAATAGCTATAATCTTCAGATATATTAATTTGATGATTATTGGCAAATAGATTATTGAACTGTGGGTCATGATAATCTTCTGGAAATACTCTTTGTTCTCAGTGATATGTATCTACAAGAGGTAGATCATATGACTATCTTGGTACATTGAATGCAGTATAGTTATTTTGGAAAATGTATGGTGGGAAAATCTGTTTCTCAAAATAAGCTATAACAGAAGAACAAATGAATGTAGGTATAGCTAATATCTTAAGGAAAAAATAAAAAATGCATTAATAATGAATTAGTTCTCTGAAAGCTGATAATTTTCATAATTTAAGCACTTGAGCATGCTACTTACTTGGGTATTTTCCTTATTTAAAAATATGGTCTGGTTAAATAAAGACTACTTAAGAAAATTGAAATCATTTTTTAAATTTATTTCTCAACTGAGATTTAGAGAATTACCATTGTTTTAATATACATGGATAGTCCAATGAAGTAAGGATGCCATAACATAGAGGAAGCATTTGTTATGTATTTAATTAAAGAGTTTGAAAGTGCCAATGTATTTATGTTTGTCTTTTGAGCTATCCCATTCTATCTCCTAAATTTTACTAAGTCCAACTTTTGAACTTATAGTATACATGTCTAACTCAGAAATAAATCTGACTAAATTCAGTAGAACTCACTCGAGGTAATACGTTACATAAGACTGTATTCTGAATTAGCAAAATGGGAAACAAAGGGTGCTTTTAAAAATGTTCTTCAATTCTAACCAAAATAACTTTTAAGACACTCCATTAAATAAATGTTCTTATAGTATTGAAACCATCTATACAACCTTATAATTGTGTAACAACTTGAATGTAACAATTTGTATGTGATCTATGGAGTTCTATAGTTGTGTACTAACAGTATTGTACATATATTGTATATTGTATATGCATTATTGTATATAGCCTAATCTTTTTTCTTTGTACATAATTCCTCTTTTGAAGTATGTTTTTAACGCCTAGCATCCAGTCCTTTTTTGCTGTGCTCTGTTCTTTGCAAACGCCAAATGCTATTCATAACACGTATTTTGCAACCTGATAATGTGCATTGGAAGCTAAGGTCCTCCAGACTGAGAATAGACTGAGGCTTCTGCTCATTAATGTGACACCCTTGTGCTTTCAGCAGAAAAGGAAAAACCAGTTATTTTTTTTGGCTTGTGTCTATATTTTAGTTGAAAGGAGGAATAGAAGATGATGGCAAATGGGGAATAATTCTGTTATCATGCAGGATTACTTTGATGGGTAAGAAGACATGGTGGATGCACTTTTTACATCTAGGTGTCACATTAGGTTTTGCATATCTCGTTGTTAGATGCTTTCTTCCACTAAAGAAAAAATGCATTATTGGGTACTTACCATGAACGCTCCTTTTGGTTTGTTATGATGGAGGTATTTTAATCACATTCTAGTCAGATTAACTGACTTTACAGTATATGCCAACAATATTCCACTGCTTAATTTTTTTATACAAACTAATATACTACACAGGTTGCATTTTATTATGTCATTTTATTTGTCTGAAGCTTGCCCACCAAGAAGGAGGAGTAATCATATAACATAGAATCTATATTGAAACTTCTACATAATATTTTCCCTCTAAGTAGTACGATGAGATTACTTATTGTGGTTGCAAGTAGAATGAGACTTCATGGTTAGTGTTCATGCAACCTTGATGTTCCTAAACCTGAAACAATTTGAGTAACTTAAAAACTAAGCAATAAATAAATCAACTTTCTTTCGTAGCCCAACAGACTAAAAGAGTTGGGATTAAAGCCACATATATCTGAGGAGAAAATACCACCTGAAAGGCCAAGACCAGCTTTCTATACTCCTTCTCCTGGAATTACTTCTATATCTGCACCTCCTGTGTCACCGGTGAATGAAGATTTCCATAGAGGCTTGTCCAGTGCTCTTGGACAAGTGTTGGCTCCCAGGTGATTTTCAGTAGTGTTCGCTTTAAAATTGGGTAATGGTTAGAAATGGGAATGGGTTTTGCCCACAAACCTCATCTTCACATTGCTGCTTTTTGGTGACTAATTAACTGAAGAGGTTTTTAGTTAATCCTACTTTTCCAATACATGCAGATTGAGAAGATATAATTAACTAAGGTTAGAAAAATATCAATTTCTCAAAACATGTGGACCCTTTTTGAAGAAGTTGATTTCTGCATGCTTGACACTAGGAATGAAGCAGTGTTAAAAGGACAAAATGTCTAGGAACCTGGGCATTGAGTTAGATTTGTGAACTGGACCATTCCATTAAACCATATAGAAAAATGAGTAATGGTTTCCTTTGTAGGCATGGCTTTCAAAGAAAAAAAATGGGAGAAAGTGGTATTCTGTCTTTCTTTTAATGTGAACTTGTGATTTGGGTAACCATTAACAGGTTTAAATTAGGGTTTCCATATGTTCATTTTATAACTCTCATGTATTTTACATTAAATTTAGTTAATTACAGTTTACTTTCTTGTAGTCTTTTGTTCTAGATCAAACATTGGATTGCACTACATTGATTCTGATTGCTTCATGCCAAAGAAATTAATGTCCCTTTTACACATATTTTCCTGGAATCTCATGCCATAAATAAATATCAGAAGTTAGATTAGAGTGGAACAAGCTGTTTCAGATAGCACTTCAGTTTAATATCTTCTTGCAATAATAATTTATTCAATCTCTAACTTTTTGAGATGAGTCTTTTGTGCAATATTACAAATTTTGGATAAATGTTATGAATAAATAAATGCTATAAATTCCATTTTAATTAATCATAAGCTAAACATCCAGTGCATGTCATTTAAAGTTTTAAGAATAGAATATATTCTTTTTCTAAAGGATACTTACATCTTCATACTTCTGAAAATGATAACATATAAATGTCTAGGACATTTTTGGACATTTACCAGATTATCACGATTTGCAAGAAAAAATATTTCAGATTAAAACATCTCTCCCTGTAATTTCAAGAAATGTGTGAAACTTTTTTCTATAGTATTTGTTTCTATAGTATTTTGTCATTTACAGTATAAAATAAAGCAATTGTAATTTTCCTATATTGCATTAAAATTATAATTGTAAAATCTGCTTACTTCATCTTCCATCTGTTTTTCCAAATTCCAGAATAGTTCTGGTGTATGTAACTACACTGTTCTTTTTCCCACATTTTTTACTTAAATATTTATGTTCTAGCATTGCCTTTTTCATATGTGTTTCTCAAGGGCTTATAGCATCTGCATTTTCCTTGATTAATTTCAAAAATATCTCTATTTTTGAATATGGCTATTTGATCCATTAATATTTGTTGGGAATATTTTTATTTGTTCCAGGAGGTCAGTTATTATTTAATTTTATGGAAAAATAGCTGCTGCTTAATCAAGTGTTTGATCTTCTGTATTATTTCTCTTAATAACTTCCTGCCCCAGACAGAAGCACAACTAACTTAGTAGAGTAAGCTAGACAAAGTGATCCTAGCCATGCTTCTATTTTCTCTTCTGACATTAACAACAAATCTGGAAAAATCGCCAACACACCAATTTATTTGTTCAGGGATAGTGCAACCTCAACTAGAGCTAACTGGAACTGATGTTTATGAATGAGCTGTACCATTTTAAAAAGTTGCCTCATCTTTTTTTGTGTAGAATTGCCCCCATTCCACCACCCCTTCCACCACCAATTTTGACTGATAGTTATAGAACTCCATATGATGATGCCTACTATTTCTATGGCACCAGAAATCCTTTGGATCCCAGCCTCGCATATTGTAAGTTTTATTTTATTATTTTCTTTAGATATAGCTTGTCTTTCATAGATAAATGTTACTGAATTGAGGGATGGTGATGAATTACAGAAATATAGAAATGCAAGTTGTGTTCAAAAGTTCCCAAGAAGTGCTTACGTCATCCCAAATTTTGTAGCAGCTTTGATGATAATTCTGTCAGCTTTCTCTTTTACCCTCCTTCTTCCCACACCATCAAAAGTAAATGGAAGAAGAAAAACAGCTGTTTAGAGCTGTTCCTCTATTTAAAATTATTTCTGCCAGTGTGCCTTCTGGGAAGTATATATTTTTTCTTCTGATTGATTTAACCTGGAGGAATTAAAAAATAATATAGGTAGTCCTTGGATTATGATGGCAATCGGGACCAGGATTGGTGTCACTAAGTGATGCAGTTGTAAAGTGTGACATTGTCACTGCATTACTTAGCTAACAATCATAATCCTGACGTAACCTCAGGACGCACAGGTTACTAAGCAGGAAGAGGCAGAAATCCCAGATAATGAGCATGAGTGCAGTCGGGGAGGCAGGGGAAGGGCTTGTGGGGGCTGTGTTAGGGTTTTAGAGACTTTCAGCTTCTCTTTATATGGCACATTTTAATCTCCATATCTGTATCTTTGTAATCTGCCAATATCGATTTGGACATGTGGTGCCTAGAATCATACACATTAAGAGTAAAGAGTACAAGATAATGACTTCAGACGTCTCTGATACAGTGCTGTTTATGATGTAGTCTGGAATTATACTGGCTCTTCTAATAGCTCATGTTTGACTCATGTTTTTCTTGTCAGTGACCACACCCAAGTCCTCTGACATATCCCTCGTTTTGTATGGATGCCCTACCTTTTTCCTCTTTAAATGTAACACCTTTCATTTCTTCTTATGGAAAGATTTCTTGTTCCTCTTAATCCAGTCTTCCAATTTGTCTAAATTAGATTTCAATCTCATTCTGTTTTGGGGGATGTTGAACAGTAGTTTCTAGTATTGTGTCATCTGCAAATTTGATAAACAACTCATTAGTGTTGCTATATAGGCTATTAATTACAATGTTGAATAATACTGAAACCAAGACTAGATCCCTACAGGATCACCTTGGATATAGAGCCATTAATGCTAACACTCTTACGACCATTTGTTCAGTCACTGAAGTTACAATGGTCCTGAATAAAGGGATATATGATCCATGCCCCAAATTAAAGCTGTTGCAGCCTTCCCCCCAATGGTCACAAGATCAAAATTCAGGCACTTGAGAGTCCACCGGCAGTTATGATCACAGGGCATTTCATATTCTCCCATCTCTGTCCCTGCTGATCTGTGTCTGCCACCCTGACTGCTGGGCGGAGCTGGATCTGGGCTTTGGCTGTAAAAAAAAAATAAAAATGAAGCCAAAAGTAACCCCAGAGCTGTGATGCTCCAAAATGCTCATTTGTGTTACACTCCTGGATCAAGTTGGACCATGCTTCAGCTGCAGACAAAAAAAAACAAATTGCCACAGTACCAAAATGCCTCTTTCTGCTGCTGCTGAAAAAAAAAAAAAAAAAAGAGGGATGAAACTTTATAGGAGTGTGCAAAGGGCATTTTGGCATGCTGAAGCTCTGGTGCTGCTTTTGGCTTGAGCGTGTTGCAAAAGAGCCCTTGGTTCAGTACGGCTTTGGGGCTTTTTTTTTTTTTTTTACAGCCAAAGCCCAACCCCAGTCTGGCCGGCAACCATTCCAGGCATGACTCATCAACAGCAGGAACAAGAAGATGGCAAAGATGATATTTATTATTTCAGAATATGTATATTATGTTTTGCTATACATCTGAGATTTACATTTTGAATATTTTTGCTATTTTAGATGGTGCAGGCACAGTGGGGACACAGCCTTCATCTGCACCACCACCTCTTGATACTACTCAAAAACCTCCTCTGCCCATGTAGGTACAAAAAAGTACAAAGTTAAACAATAGTTTATATTGTTTATTTCTAGTTGTGAATACAGTTTTGAAATGATTGCCAGCTTTCAGAACTTAACATAATATATAAAGCTGACCACTTTTGTAGCTGACAAGATTATACAGGAAAATTATGAAAACATCACTTAAAATACGCTTTGTTTAAATCTTTTTGATGCAGCAATAAAATTGGAGCAAGCATTGCAAGTATTAGACCAAAAGGCTTGGGAGTATTTCCTGAGGAAAAACCAAAACCCACAAGAGAGGCTACCTTAGCTTATCAACAAGAATTACAGCAGCAGGTATGAAGCTGAAATCTGTCCAGAAATTATTTTTTATTTTGAATTGAGGTATTAATTTTTAAAGAAACTTTCATCAGAGCAAATAATATTTTCTGGTAAGTAATTTCTCCTGGGTAAGCCAAATGATCTTTATATATTCTAGTAAGAGGTAATAATTTAAAATATTTATCTCAATTTCCTATTAATATTACACATTTGTGCTGCAGAGCATGAAATATGCTTCTATATTGTATTCATACACTTTGAATTTCTAGATAAATATTGACATCAGTGCATTTAAAACAGACAGCTTGATCCAGGCTACCTTGGGTACATTGCCAAAATAGAGACCCTTTTGTTCTCCATCTCTCTTCTTCCCCCTCTTGCCCACCCCTTTTGTTCTCTGTGTACATGGAAGTATTATGCAGGATGATAAAATTTCAAGGGACCAGAATGGTACAGTGGTGTTTAAGAGTTTGTGACAATTTGAACCTTCAGTATTTCCTGCAGAAATATGACCTAAAACACAATCTGTTTTCCATATGTTCCAAAACTAGATAAAGAGAATCCAATTAAATAAATGAGTCAAAACCATTATACTTATTTATTTATTGAGGGAAATAATCCCTAACCCTACATCTATAATGTTCTTTTAAAAAAAGGAAAAAAAAACCACATTTTGCTAATATGGTTTATTATATAAACATTCTTTAACGTTCTGAATGAAAATCCATACCTGAGAGTTCTGTGTTAGGATTTTGCTTTTGTTGTTTATGTGTTTGCATTTATTTATAGTAAATAGTATACTTCCAACTTTAAAATATTATTTACACCATTATTACAACATCAAACTCTTACAATATTACAAAATATGAACATTGAAAATAGCTTTCCAAAAATGCCATGTGATTTGTTAATAAGTGTAAATATGTTAGGGTTATTATTTTTAGTGCTGGTCTATGTATTCCTGATTATTCTTTTATACACCAATGAAAGAACTGGACATTTTTGTTTAACCTAATTTGTTATGATATGTCATGATAGGACAATATATGTCAGTATTGTTCAAATTCAGTATTTGTTAAAAATAATTGCTGTTTTATGTATATTTTATATAGATAAGGGAAAGAGAAGAACGTCGTAGGCAAGAAAAGGAAGAAAAAGAACGCTATGAAGCTAAAATAGAAGCTGAAATGAGAAATTACAACCCTTGGGGGAAAGGAGGGGGCGGAGCTCCTCTCAGAGACAAAAAAGGAAATCTTATAAGTATGTTTGAAAATCTAATTGCCCTCCTTTTAGTTCTTCAGACTTGTAGCTGTTTATATACACTCTCTGCTAAAGAACATCTTGACACACAAGTAAAACGGATGTACTACAGCGAATTTACAGCATAGAAGGATTTTTTTTCTAGTTAAATAGTGTGGTTGAAAAATATTTGCTTTTGCTTCAACAAGAACTATTTTTATAACAGGATTTTTAAAAAGTTAATTTGACAGAATTGCATTAAGAAAATGATCATTGGAGCAAAAAGGGGAATCATGGGATATCGTAAACATCTGTACCAAGAAATTTTTTTTGTAGACTTTTATATATTCTCAATAAAGAGGCAATTGAATTGCAGTATCCTTATAAAAGTTGAAGGATCATTTCTTTGTACATATCTTTCTGTGTAGAAGTTCTGGCTTTTCAAAATAAATAACAACTCAGTTAATGTTAACTGTTATCCAAAGAGGTTGTATGTATCCTTTTGGAGCATGTGTACGTGCAATAGAGATTTTAATTTGTATAATATTTTAGTAATAATTTAATTGGAATTATAAAAGTACATTGAATGTTTAACAATGTTAGACTAGAGCCATTGCTTCTTTTCACTGACTGCTTCCTGGGCAGAATTCTGTTCATTGTGCTTAAGTTGGGAGGAAGGAATAAAAACCAGCTTTGTTAAATCTTTTTTTCCTGCACTTTCCACATCTGAAATACTATATTTGAAGTAGATTATCCAAAACAATAGAAAAATATAGGAGATTAACTAGAATTTATTTCTCTTCATTCTTTGAGAATGCTGTTGAATTAGAAGCCTTCCTGTAAAGAGAAGACACCACTCTCTTCATAAGAAGAGATGGTCAATTCAATCCTTCATATATAAAGTTTTAAAATTCCTAAGTTTTAAACTAAATATTGCATTAATCCTTTAACACTATTAGGTAAAACTAAAATGTAATAACAAAATTGAAATAAGAGTACTACAGATTGAGTGACCTGAACTCTTATAGCTAAACTGGATGATAATATATTTAATTTTAAAAAGTTTTTTTAAAAAATACTTGACTTATAGTAGAGCTTGAAATAGGAATATTGTACACAACACACATAATTCTGTCTTTGAGGCCCTTGTGCATCCTTTTAACTGTAATTCTGAAATAATATTTCTTGAAAATGTTATAAACATGCCACGTTGGAAGAAAATATTATAAATGGCTGTTTCCCCTTTTCTTCAGCGGACTTGAATGTGATGCACAAGCAAAATGAAGATGCATACCATAATCCAGAGGCACAAGTATATGAAGATAAAAGAGCTATAGTATCTGTTGACCTAAGTTTGGCCTCACCAAGACTTGAAAATACAGATGAATCTACAAATAAAACAGCAGGTTTAAATGCTAATATATTTTCAGTTGCATCCGTCTTCTGTCATTGGTCAAAATTATTTTTCCTACGCTGTACTTTCCACTGAAGGCAATCCCATATATGTTTTTCAATCCTCTTAAAGCATATAAAGTTAAATAGAATTAGACCTATATTATTACATTAATGAAAGTTGTTACATCCCTGTTAACTTCTGATATACATCAAAATGGACTTTGTGCACCCTCTGAGCAGGGGATTGGACTAGATGACATCCAAAAATGACAAGCAACATCAAGAAGCTTTTGAGCAGTTATATAGATGCAAGACAAATACCTAATAGGAAAAAAATCAAAGCAGGAATCTGTTCAACTGGAAGATTGAGTAATATGTTCATAAATTACAATACAAAATCCAGCTTGGTGGGATATTATAATTTCCACCATATTGTCTTATTTGAAAACAAACCATAAAAAAAATTCAGCCTGCTATGGCCATATATGTAATTCTTCAGGATCGCTTTCGGACATGCCCCTTTCTTTTTAAATACCTTTTTTACCAGTGGTCCCCAACCTTTGTGGCTTGGCAGTTCACTGGAAGGAGAGGGGAAGTGGGATGCCCAATGCACCGACTGCAAGTTGAGCTATCAGTGCCTGCGCGGGTGCACTAGCACACTGCTTGTGCAAGTCAAACTATGTGCACGTGTCCACCAGCATGTGGCCCACTTGCAAATAGGCCACAGCCCAGTAGTGGGCCACAACCCGGGGATTGGGGACCCCTGTTTTACACAACTTTCATTTTAGCAGACTGGACTCAGTTTCAGAGCCTTTGTATGATTTGAGGTGAAGAAATGGAAATTACTGCTTTTTAAAGTATATTACACTCTTGGTTTGAAGAGGAAAAAGTGGATATTATGAAAGTTGAGGAGGTTTGTTATTTTGATGTACATGATTGTAATCAATACATAATCTTTTGAAGAAAACTGGAGTAGCCCAGGTGTATATAAATATGCAATGGATGCAGAATACTGCTTTAGATCTATTTTATCTTAATAATCACAGTAAATCTTTTTTCTAGAAAAGTAATCACACCCAGAATTCTCTGTTAGGATACAAGAATATGGGAAATGAGAAAAAAAATATTAGAAATGTAATGTAGTTTTTGAGAAAAAAATGTCAGAACACTAAACTTTTCTTCAAGATTTTCACATTCTCAAAACTGACAACTTAGAAGTAATAGGTGTAGAAACTTTTTTATTGATTTTAACATGTCTTGTAATATTTTTTTTTAAATTCAGTTGCCTTTTACATTTTAAATAAGAGTGAATCAGAAAGCAAAAGGTGAAATTAATTTCATGTGTTGCCAGATATAGTCACTTCCTGAATCCCCCATCATATTAAATAATTTAAAAGTTTTTAAATTCTTGGTATATGATTGCTAAATCTCAAGGTATCTTGGGCACAACTCAGACCATCACAGTGAAACCTTTGGATGCTGATTAATTAAAGGCTTGAGTTTTTTCCTCTTTTTCTTTTCCCTTATTAGTGTGTCCATGCATATTAAAAAAATGGTTGAGGGGGTGGGGGTGGATGTGCATATTCATGTTTCTATTCAGCAGCCATTTTCTCTCTCCTTTCCCTTTTGTAAGGTTCTTATTCTGAAGAGTATACATTATATTATGTCTGGACTTCCGGTTCCCTTAGTTGTCTGTGTTGGTAGACAAAAATTTAGTTCTTTTCAATATGTAACTTTTGTTTTTGCTTCCAGTGGAGGTAGGTAGTGCCTACTATAGAAAAATCCAATGATTCTTTAAAAGCTTTTGTAAAATACTTTTGGATTGTTAATTGCAAATATACCGTACTTTCCGGCGTATAAGACGACTTTTGAAAGCGTTGAAATTGGAACCGAATTCGGGGGTCATCTTATACGTCGAGTCGTCTTATACGCTGGAAATTACAGTAGTTTGCGACTCGGCGCTGAAGACGGGGGTCGTCTTATACGCCGGGTCACCTTATACGGCGGAATATACGGTATGTTAAATTGGGTAATAGCAGTTCATTCAATTACAGCATAATTATAGATTATTTGGAGTAAGATACCTAGCGTCAGCTTAAAAGCATTTGTGATAGAACTTATTACCAATGCTTACAACTCCCCTCCTTTTTCTTTTTAAATTAGGCTTTACATATACACAAACATCCCCTTTTGCACGGGGTAATATTTTTGGAGAGCCCCCAAGTCCAGAACAATTAAGGAGACAAGAGTCATATAAGAACTTCCTTCGTTTTCAGGTAAGTATATTTGTAACGATATTAAACAAAGAAAAATGTTTTTCTGATTTAGCTTATTTCCATTTTCTAAATACTGCTGCAGATCTGGGCTTAACGTAGGTTAAATAGTAATGTTTTTATTTAGTAGTAACAAATTTCAAATACTGAACACAGTCCCCAAAGGACCATCCACTAATATAAGAGGCTAAAATAAGGAAATATAGATTCATTAAAAAGTTGCAAATGTATCATCCCATCATAATTTCTAAATAACACTTTTTGAAAAATTTCAGGATAAATTTCTTTAGACACCACAAAATGTTCAATGTTAGAGAATATGAAAACTAACTAGGGGGAAGTGGACAGAATACAGTGAAGTATCCTCATAAAGAAACCCTGAATAACAACACTTCAGTTTACAACATTGCTTGGGAGGAATTTTAATTTTCATTATTTGCAACCATTACATGAGGCATAAGTTTTAATGAGTGAATTGCATACAATCAAAACTCTGTACCTCTTGGAGGAGTTATGAAAGAATATAGATCATCACCTGGGAACTGTTTCTATGAGAACATCTCCCTTATCCTTTAAGTGATATTCTCTGCCACAACCCTCATTCTCCTTTACAGTATAGGAACTGCATCCTGGGAATGGAATCAAGCTGTTACATTCCAGAAATTATGGTTCATCCTCAACATATGAGCCCAACATTTATGTTGCTAAGTGAGAAATTTGTTAAGTGAGTTTTGCCCCATTTTACAACTTCACTTGCCACAGTTGCTAAGTGAATCACTACAGTTGTTAACTTAGTAACATGGTTGTTAACTGAATCTAACTTCCCCATTGACTTTGCTTGTCAGAAGGTCACAAAGGATGATCACATGACACCCAGGACACTGCAACCATCATAAAAATGAACCAGTTGTCAAGTATACAATTGTAAATCACATGACTGGGGGGATGCTGCAATGGTCATAAGAATGAAAAATGGTCATAAGTCCCTTTTTTTAGTGCTGTTGTAACTTTGAACAGTCACTAAATGAACTGTTGTAAGTCAAAGACTATTAGTATTGTCAAAGTAACTTTCTGGTTGTCTGAGCACACATAGTTTAGGATTCTGGTTTCAATAAAATGCTGTTCCCTGATGGCTTACTACATTGAGCATAGATGCATAACTTGTACACAATAAGCAGCTAGTCATCCACTTATACTTTTAGTATATGGGTACCACTTCTTTCTTAACTGGCTTTCATCTTCATACTAGCTACTGTTGCTACATTTGTATTCTTTAGAAATTGTTATATTTTCATCATTTAGAGCTCTGGTTTCTTTTCACCTAACCTAAACTAACGATGTGATTGGTGTATTCTTCCCTTGCCTTTTTCCCCCATTAATCCTCCTTATGAAATTCCAAAATTCCTACTTAAATTCCTGATCATGACATTCCAACTGCTTCTTCTCTTCGTTATTAGAATATCCAAGGTTAGTCTACCATAACTACTAACCTTCATAAAAAAATACTAAGAGATGCAATGGTTTTCATAGTAGATGAGTGGGTGGTACAGTACTGACACAATCCAGTGATTAAGATTGCTGTGAAGAGAAAAGACTTTCATTGATCAGTAGTTGGTCATAATGATCTAGCCAGGTCTAATTAATTTTATGAAAAGAACAACAAATTGGTACTTTGCTTCCAGATAGAAGAAAAAAGAAGAAGAGAAGAAGAAGAACGTGAAAAACGAAGGCTTGAAGAAGAAAGGGAAGAAAGAAAGTTAGCTGAGCAGAGAGCTAGAATACAAAGAGAGTATGAAGAGGAACTGGAAAAGAGGAGAAATAAAGAAGAAGAGGTATGATTATAAATTAGACTTGATTGATTCTTGCCATGAAGAGAACAGTGACTTCCTTTTATCATCCCTAAAAAGAGACAATAAATTACTAGTTCTGGAATAGATTCCTTACTTCAGGAGTTGTTGTTTTTTTTAAAAAAGTCAAACTCCATATTTTTTTGTCATAGGAAGTTGTCAAAAGACATCTTCCTTGATTGTAGACTTGTGTCTGATTAATGGGCAGATAAAATGTACATATTTTTGATTAGCATTCCAACTTTGGTTTAATTAATATGAGAGTAAAGAAAATGTATGTTTCTATTCCTTAATTGGAGAACTGTTAAGTGGAAAACAGGAAGTAATTTAATTAATTAATATATGTAATACAATTCATATAAAATGAAAATATTTTAAATATATCAGTTTGATTTACAAGTCTCTCACATAAAGATTCAAGTGGGCACTTGGTAATATTACATATAGATAGGCATTCCCATTCTTTGCAGTTTAAGAAAAGACTTCAGAGATGCAGTTTGATCAATTATTATCTCATCAAATTTGGTTTGTATCATTCCATTTTTATCTTTATAGCAACGATTAAAAAATGAAGAATTATATAGATTAGCTGAAGAAAGAAGAAAAGAAGCTGAAAGGAGAAAGATAGAGGAAGAAGAAAAAAATAAAGAGGATATTGAAACTGAAAAACATTTGATTGACGAGAAGGTAATTTAAAAACAAAATCTTAAATTCTGTCCGTATTAGCTTAGATCCAAGTAGGATCATCTACTTCTCCATAGAACTCAGAACTACAGTTCTAAGTACATCCCAAGATGCTTCAGTCTCAAAACTGTATGGTCTTCCAAGAGATCAATAAGAATAACTCCTAGTTTGATGTTTGAATCTAAAGCACTGATAATTATTGTAAAAGAAATTGCAAAACAACTTACATAGTATAAAAAAAATTCTTAATGGCATAGAACATTGGAATGTTTGAAGTTGGGGATTGCAGAGGTGCTTTATTAAAAGACAACTGGGGTTTCTTTGTTTTTCTTTGAAGACTTTTCACTTCTCATCTAAAAGGTTTCTTCAGTTCATCATGAGCTGGTTTGCCTGAAATATAGTCATGTGACTAGAGGAGAGGACTCTATGTTTTATGATGGCTGGAAGTGCTTTATAGCTCATAAAGCATTCTTTCTGAGGCTGTCATAACTTTGAAAAGTTGTTAAATGACCAAGTGTAAATTGAGGATTACTTGTAGACATTCCCTAGATTAAGATCTGAATACTCAAATTCAACTTTATGTTAATATTTCCATAAATCACATCTAAAATATTTAACAGCATAATTCATAAGAGTTCAAAGTAGTATAGAATATTGGTGAATATATTGAACAGTCTTAGCTTTTATTGGGTTGTGCCGTTGAGGCTTAGGTGATCACAGCATTTCTTTCTTTAAAGGACAGTGAGTTCTATAATGGTCCAAGTCCTGTTTGGTAGTTGTCACATTAGAGCATTATATTTTTCTTTCAATACTGAATTGACTGAATGTCAGGTTGACATATAGCATTTTGCAAATGTATTTTGTATGTATAAAGAATAGGGCAGGGAAAACTTTTAAGTTTGTTAGTGAGAATTTGTGCCCAATGGTCTGGGCAATGGATTATTGGATCCCACACAGCCATTGTTTATGTATTGATTAAAATTTGCAAGATAGATAGCAATAGCACTTGGACTTATATACCGCTTCACAGTGCTTTACAGCCCTCTCTGTTTACAGAGTCAGCATATTGCCCTCAACAATCTTGCTCCTCATTTTATAGACCTTAGAAGGATGGAAGGCTGAGTCAACCTTAAGCTGGTGAGACTCGAACTGCCAAACTGCTGGCAGCCGGGAGTCAGCAGAAATAGCCTGTAGTACTACATTCTAACCACTGTGCCACTGGGGTTCACCAGATGCAAGATAGATGCAAAGGAAAAACCCATTTATAATTCTGCTTTCTCTTTACCCCCTTTCCCACATGCTCAGAGTTAAGGATAGTGATTTCCATTTTTTAAATTAGTATTATAGAATACATTTGACTTAACATGCTAAATTTCAGTTATTTTCATTTCATAGTGTGAGAGAGATTTATTTTCGGCAAGTATACATATAAAATCAAATGATAGCACAAAGTAAGTTTACCTAACCGAATTATAATGGCAAACGATTACTAAGTGAATGTCATAAGTACAAAAAAGCTTTATATAGAAACTTTATATTATTCACAATAATTTATATCAATATCCCTTTACCTTCCATCCATCAGACATTAAAGAAAAGGAAACAGGGAAATTAAAGATGAGTAAGTTACAGGAACTGAACAGTCTTTAATGTACTGTGATTTATTTCTAGATAACCTTTTAATGTTTTCCTGAGATGTCCCCAGAATTCAGTCTCCTCCAATCCCAGGTAGAAGAAATGCATACATTAGTTCTGAAAGAGTGGTCTTGAGACAGATTCTATAGTGTTAGGTTTCTGATGATATTATATCCTAATTGTGTATTGTTCTGTTCATGTTCAGATTAATATGACCAGAATTACACATTAACAGTCTGAAAAATTTGGGGGCTGAGAGCATCAGGAAAGTGTTATATGGCCCTGCCACATTTACACAAATGTATTTACCTTCATTGAGTTTTATGCTAGAATAGGGTTTCTGCCACACTCTTCCTTTTTATGTATTCTAATTTTTTTAATAGTGTTTAACTTTTTAAATACAGTTGAGTTCACTTTATCCGAAACTAGAACTTCTATTAGTATTAACAAGAGAGAATGCTAATGTCACAGTCAATATTTTTTGCTTGCAAAAATGTAAATTCTGTATATTATTTGACAATCAGTTTTCATAAATAGGTTCCTAAAAAAACCCTCTTGTTTTCACCTTAAAAATAAAGACAGCCAAATCAGAATATTAATTAATTAATATATATTGTGTCAAAAAAAAAATATAATAATATTTATGGGTTAACAATTATACTTGTTGAGGTCAGTTTTAAAAGTGCACATTTTCATCTGCTCATTTTGTTTTTCAGATTTCTAGACATCCTTCTCCTCTTATACCAACTCTTCAGAGTAAGCCATTAGTAAAAGAAGAAAGGACACTTCTGATGGAGAGTCGTTTGTCTTATTACACACAGGTATGTTTGCTTATTATACAGATGTAATTCAGGAATTATTTTTTAGCATTGTATTTCCTAATTGTGTTCTTGAAAGATTCAAGTTACTTGGGGTAAGGGAATATCAACATATTAATTTATATATTTATTCTCCTTAGTGATGTTTAATAATTCTGTTGACATTACTTTAGCTACAGTTGAGAGCAATATTTTTCAAACCTGGCAACTTTAAGTCTAATTTTGCTTTCTTCAGCTGATAGCATATGTTCCATGACTTAAAGCAGTGGTTCTCAATCTTTTTAATGCCGCGACCCCCAACCGGTCGTAAGTCGAGGACTACTCAACCGGTCGTAAGTCGAGGACTACTCAACGGGTGCAGCACCGTTTGCAGAATGGGACTTTTGGCAGGCTCATCAGGGCAGAGACAGTCTGGACAATTCCTATTGGCTTTTGAAAGCCAATAGAATTAGACTCTATTCAAGAGAGTCTATTCTATTGGCTTTCAAAAGCCAATAGAATAAAAGGGAGTAGCACAGCTAATGAAAAGGGGAAAAAATGGCGGACTGCGTTGTTTGGCGACCCCCGTGAAATGGTCGTTCGACCCCAAATGGGGTCCCAACCCACAGGTTGAGAACCACTGATTTAAAGGTTCTAAGAATGTAAATTCTACAGTGTGGTTAATAATACTTTTAAAAAGTAATGGCAGATAGGAATGGGGAGTTGATAGAGCTAGACATTTTTTATTTTTTATGTTTTTTAAAAAAGGAACATCCTCCCAGTACAGCATTAAGGAAATATCTATCCATAGAATCAATGGATAATTCTTTCTTAATACTAGATGTTCTGGAAAAGACTTGGTGACTATGGTTGTTGACTGAGAGATGAATGATTATATGTCTTTTCCCTGTGTGTAGTAGTTTCTACCATCAATATTTAATATTTAATTAAAAATAACATGAATTTGAGTTACATTGTTAGTATCATATGTAATCAGGCGTTATAATACATGAAAACAAAGTCAGTAAAAGTGAGCTATTTCTCTTTATATGGATGTGATTTTTTTCCCCTAGATAAATGTAAATTTTATTTTTTTTCCTAGGATGTCCCCAGAACTCAGTCCCCACCAGTGCCAGCTAGAAGAAATCAATTACGTGCATATGGTAAGAAATCTATAACTCTTCTTACTTTGGTTGTGCTAATAACCAGAATAAATATTTTTAAAGAGAAAATGAATATTGGGCATTCTGTATCTAATTATTGTTATATTGAATTTGCAGAAGAAAAAAAGAATGTAATAAATGAACTTTCGGAGATGAGAAAGCAGCTCCGCAGTGAAGAGCGACGACTACAGGAACAGTTGTTAAAATTTCACAGTGATGATGATGAAATGCCAGTGAAAGGGTAAGGAGTTTGGTTTGTCACAAGTCATTTGATAAAATACACACTTCTTTGGGGAAAGTAATGCATACTTTAATTCAGCGGTCCCTAACCTTTCCAGCTGGGGGCGGGAGCGGCGGGTAGGTACACGCGTAGCTCCATTTGCACGACTGCACCTGTCTGCCGCTCATGAAAGTGGAGCTGTGCATGTGTGCTCACCTGCCGCTTCCGCGGCCTAGTTCTTTTGTATGTGAATTGGTATTCTTTCATTAGGAGAGACCTAAAACACATTCTATATAAAATTGAAGGGAAATCTCCTTCCTATAGATTCTTTCTTCTGGACCTGCCCTATAGTGGAATATCAGATAAGGCTGTGATGAATCTGGTTCTGAAATTGTTTATGATCTAAAGAAGTTCTGCTTTATAGTTAAACAACAACAACCAGACAAACCCATATTGTCAGAGAGTGAGGCTAAGAGTTGGGTTCAAGTAGACATTCCTGGACTTAAGCAATTGCTTATTTTAGTTCATTGTTAATTGTTTGTATTTAGGTTGGGGATTCAAGTTTTTCTACAACATATTATAAGTTAATCAAACAGTTCCCTCCCTGGCTGCTTTACTTAATTAAATACTTGATATATTTAACTTTTTCATCTTGGAGAGGATTTGTATTTCTTAGTTTATAACCACCATTAATAATTAAACTTTAATGGAAACTATTTCCTTAAAACAACCAAAACCTAAAATAATACATGGTAATGCATATGGTCACATTTGTTACTGCATGTAGTGTTTTTATTAGTAAATTGTAAAAATTGGCTTCTCCATGTCTTTTCTAATTGACTTTCTAGAATTCACAAAACTGGAACATTTTTTCATTTTGTTTTAGACCTATTTTTATCATCTGTTTCATTCTATTTTTTTTTATTTTAACGGAACTTGTGTATGTTTTTGAAATTTGGATTACCTTTTTGCATGATTTTGGTAACTTTCATAGGAAAAAAGATAAACAGAATTTGGATGTATTTGAGATGGCCAGACTCCGCATGCAAGCTCCAGTAAGGCGACCATCTTCAAAGGAAATTGCTGATCCTGTTAATCTACAGAATATCCGTGAATTTAATGAACTTAAATATAAAGGTTAGTTGACAAACTCTGAAATGATGTCAAAGAATCAAGCAACAAGCATCAGAATCACTTTCTTAGCATTTCTCTGTGTGAATTGCGATCTTAGTTTTCTACTCTACATGTAGTTAAAATGATGCTGATAACATACAGAGAAAATTTATCAGCAGACATGGAAACCTGGAGCTTGAAAAATATAAAATGTTTTTATAACTCCCATCGAGTGTAACAAGAACAAAAAACAGGAAAGAGTCCAATTGGAAATACAGTAGATATAGAATATTGCCTGGTGGTTGACGAAGGAAAAACAAGGATAGCATTGGGATCAAGGGAAGGAACAGAATAGACTGGCTGAAATTGTAAACAAGGAAAACACACTGAAATATTTATTTCAGCCATCAAAAACAAATAGTCCAAACAGGACTACTTATAAATAAAAGCAAGAAACATCCAAACTTTGCAAAACAGGCAAACATGCAAAAAAAATGGAGGCACTGGAGGAAAATAAAAACTAACCTAGGGTTTGGGAAGTCCCCCAAAAGCTCATAGTTTAGACTCTGCTTTTTTAATATTATTATTTTATCATAGGAAATAAAATACAAAGCAGGAAAACAAATAAACAAAACAAAACTAACAATATTAAATATTTTCTGTATTGTTGTTATGTTTATCTAGTAGGTTTTTCCATTTGCAAGATCACAACATATTGTCAGGCTATCCGCTGTCGTCTGTAGCGCGAAGGCAAAGAAGACCGGCACACACTGACATCCAACAAGCACTTTATTATGCAAGTGAGACAAAGTCAGCACTGGGGTTAGTTTCCTCCCACCGCCATATATCGGCGTGCTCCACCCTGTGGGTCCGCCCCCAGTTCCAAACCACCATCCGTTCAAAATGAATAAATGCTCCACCCTTTCCCTGTGCTTTCCCTTTCCCCGACGGAACTCCGCCCCCACTCCCCGTTGTCCGTGCGCCCGATCCGCGCGTCAGTTGCCCGCCGCCAAACTTGCCCTGCCTAACGTCCTGGTTGCTAAGGGACTGCCCCCCACTCCCCTTTACTGGGTCTGGCCGCCGGAGTGCAGTCCTCCCGCCCCCAGATGGCCCGGCCGCCGCTCTCCCTTCCGCAGACCGCAGTTGGCATTCGTGGACCTCCGGCCCTGTCGGCAACGGGCGTCCCTTGGGTTTTGCTGGCGTCTGTTGTGTAGCTTGTGGAGACGTCCGCACAGTTGAAATTCAGTTGGTGCAGCCGTGGGGCGTGGCGGGGTACTGCTCAGCTGCTTCTCGGGCTGGTAGGTCGTTATCCGTGCTCCCCCGTCCCTGTTCGTATGGCAAGCCTTTGGGGGCTTGACATGCGGCCCCCTCTACCACGTGTCCCCCTGGAAAGGAAAGGGAAGGGGTTGAATACACCACGTTGCATCTGTCCCGCCCTGGCTTCCCCGGGCACTTACGGTGAAACGTTCGGATTAGGTTAGGTGCGTTTATATCCTCCTCTCCCACCCAGGTTGCGTCCAACAACGGGTATCCTTTCCACCGAAGGAGGTATTGGGTCTTACCATAACGCCTACGTGAGTCTAAGACTTCCTGCACCTCATAATGAGACCCCGAGATCGGCCCGGGTGCCCCGTCAGCGTAGGGACTTTTATGTGCAGGTTTGAGCAGGCTACTATGGAACACGGGATGAACCTTGCCTAGAGAGGCAGGTAGCCGTAATTGAACCGTCACCGGGTTGACCACTTTGAGGATCTGGAAGGGGCCCACATATTTCGGGCCCAGTTTTTTGCATGGCACTTGCAAGCGTAAATACTTGGTGGCTAAATATACCCAGTCTCCCACCTGGAACGGTTTGTGCTCTGCTCGTCTTTTGTCGGCTTGGAGTTTGGCAGCGGCCTCGGCCTTCCTCCGTGCTGCCTTCACCCGGTCCCACAACCCTGTGATCTGGGAGTACCATGTTTGAGGGGTCTGGCCGCTAGCTACCTCTGGTGACAGGTCGGGAATGGGGTTAAACTCCATCCCATACACTATCTTAAACGGGGTATACCCCGTACTGTTGTGGACGGTGTTATTATATGCCACTTCAGCAAGCGGCAAGAGGTCCACCCAGTCCGTCTGCTGAAATGACACATAATTCCGGAGGTATCTTTCCACCATGGCATTTGCCCTTTCTGCCGCCCCGTTGGTGCTCGGGTGATACGCTGAACTCAACGCCTGCGAGGACCCTAGTGTACGAACGAACTCCCTCCAGAACTTCGCGGTAAATTGCACCCCTCTATCCGATACAATTCTCCTGGGTATGCCATGGAGCCGGTAAATGTGTTGAATAAACAACCGTGACAACCGCCGCGCTGATGGCAGGCCCTTGCATGGGATAAAATGCGCCTGTTTGGAGAAGAGATCTATCACGGTCCATATCACGCTGTAGCCCCGGTTGTCAGGCAGTTCTACAATAAAATCCATGGCGATCTCTTCCCACGGCCGGGATGGATCAGCCACTGGTTGTAATAACCCTATGGGCTTCCCTACCTGGGGTTTGGCACTGGCGCATACGTGGCACCCTCTGACATACCGTTCCACATCTACCTTCAGTTTGGGCCACCAGAAGTGTCGTCGTAACAGATGTAGGGTCTTTAAAAACCCAAAATGGCCCGCTTGTTTCGCGTCATGGCATTGTCGGAGCACGGCTAGGCGTAGGCTCTCGGGCACATATATCTTATCGCCTTTCCATGCCACACCGTCCCGAGTAGTCAACCACCCTGAATGCTCATTCGCCCACGTATCCGTCAGCAGGGCAGTCCTAATGGCCTCTAGGTCACTTACCTGAGACCTGTGACTTACAGTCTTAGCGGTCTCATGCCGCGGAGGCGGCATTAGTGCCTGTATGACCTCCTCCCGTTTGCTATGGTACTGCGGCATCCGCGACAATGCGTCGGCCAGAAAGTTTTTCCCTCCCGGCACATACCTCAGTGTGAACCGAAACCGGTTGAAATATTGGGCCCACTGGACATGTTTGGGGGCTAAGCGCCTCGGGGTCTGTAGCGCCTCCAAATTCTTATGGTCTGTCCACACCTCAAACGGCTGCTTGGCCCCTTCTAACAAATGCCTCCATGTTGCCAGAGCCCAGCGGATCGCGAAGGCCTCCTTCTCCCAGACGGTCCAGCTACGCTCGGCCGTCGTGAATTTCCGCGAGGTATAGGCACATGGCTGCAACGCTCCTCTACTGTTCTTCTGCAACAGCACCGCCCCCACTGCCACATCGCTTGCATCCACCTGTACCACGAATGGGGCACTCTGGTCCGGGTGGCGCAATACGGGCTCTTTGGCAAATAACGTTTTCAGTGTCTCAAATGCCTTTTGGCAACTCATAGTCCACTCTATTCGTTGGCTCGGGCGAGGTCTCGCCGCCAGGTGTCTTGTCCGCAGCAGTTCCGTGAGGGGATGCACCACGGTGGCAAATGACGGAATGAACTGGCGGTAAAAATTCGCGAATCCGAGAAAACTTTGCAGCTGGCGTCTCGTCTGGGGCGCTTGCCATTCCTGTACTGCTTGCACCTTGCTCGGATCCATTTCCACCCCGCTCCCCGATATACGGTAGCCCAGGTAATCTAGTCGCTCCCGGTGGAACTCGCACTTAGACAACTTCATATAAAGCTGTGCCTCCAGTAACTTCCGCAGCACCTGCCTCACCAGACTGACATGCTCCTCCCTTGTTGCGGTATATATTAGAATATCATCTAGGTACACGAGTACCCCGCGGTATAGGTGTTCATGCAACACCTGATTGATCAACTGCATGAACACCGCCGGGGCCCCCCGTAACCCGAACGGCATGACGCGAAACTGGAAGCTACCCAACGGACAGTTAAATGCCGTTTTCCACTCGTCGCCAGCCTTGATTCGTACTCTATAGTAAGCCTCCCGTAGGTCCAATTTGGTAAATATGCGTCCCGTTCCCAAATGCGCTAACAAGTCCTTCATTAGGGGGAGGGGGTATACATGCTCGACACATACTGCGTTTAACCCTCGGAAGTCGACACATAAGCGCAACAACCCATCCTTCTTTTCCTTGAAAAGTACGGGAGCCGCTATTCGGGACCTAGCAGGCTGGATGAATCCCCGCGCCAAATTCTGGTCAATGTATCTACGGAGTTCCTGCACCTCTGGTGATGTCATAGCGTACATCCGGGGTTTCGGGAGTTTAACCCCCGGCAATAGCTCTATGGCGCAATCCGTTGACCGGTGAGGGGGCAGGTGATTACACTCCTCCTCGCTGAAGACCATTGCTAAATCCCTGTATTCCTCAGGGTACGTCACTTCCCCCCCCTCCTCCTGGAGTCGCGCCGTTACCTCCGGGGCCTCAGGAAACTGGCCTCCATTACTGCCAGTCTCTGGCATTGGGCCCCTCCCCAGACGCACCTTACGGTACCCTCCTTCCCACCAAATGGTTGGGGTCCATTTGTCCAGCCAGGACAACCCTAATATGACAGTCTCAGCCAAAATGGGCACCACAATGAACCGCAACACCTCCCAATGATCTCCTAGGTCCATGCGTACCCGTTCCGTCACGTGGGTTGCGGGGACTCCTCCCAACAGGGACCCATCCACTTGTTCGAACCGTATTAGTTGCGGCAATGGATGTATCCGGAACCCATTATCCACCGCTACCTTCCTACTCATCAGACATCGCGTGCACCCCGTATCGATCAAGGCCTGACACGCCTTCTGTACCCCTGTTACCGGACTCGTGAGGACTATAGGGAGGATGAATGGATTAATAGGGTCACTCACCATTGGATCGGCCAATTCGTCGTCAGGGCCGTCCTCCTCGTCTCCCAGCTGGTATCGTGCCATGGCCGTAGACTCTGCCATGACCGGAGACCCCTTGTTTGCCCCTGGGGTTGGCTGTTGAATAGTCGCCCTCGAACTCTCCGTAGCTTTCTTTACGGGTGTGGCTCTACCAATTGTTGCGGCCTTATGGGGGCTGGGTGCTGGGCAGTCGGCTGCTCGATGGCCCGGTTGGTCGCAGCGGAAACATCGGAAGCCGGCTTCTTTTGATGCCCCGGGTGGTTTTGGCGTTATCCGCTGTTGGTCCTGGCTTCCCTCGCGAGGCCTCTCTCCGGGACGCCGCGGTCGCGGGACGTCCCCGATCCCTCGATATACAGCCTTAAGGCCTGCCTCGAGTTTGACCACCACCCTAAACCAGTCTCTCAATCTGTTGGGCACCCCCCGGTACACGCAGGCTTGCCGTAGGTCATAGTCTAGGCCTGCTCTGAATTGATGTACCAACATCCGCTCCGGCCATGAAGACTGCAACCGGCCGGCTAACTTCCGGAACTCCCGCACGTATTCGACGGCTGGGCGGTTCCCCTGGTGGAGCGCCAGCAGGTCTGCCTCGGCCCTCTGCGCCCGGGTAGGATCCTCAAATCTCCCATGCAGAGCGTCCAAGAACAGCCCCGCATTCCCCAACTCTCGGGCATGGTCACTGTACAGGTCGGCTGCCCATGCAGCCGCCTCTCCGCGTAAGGCGGCGGTAATGGCGCCGACCATAGCCCATTGGGAGACATATAGCTGTGCAAACTGGTCCAGGTGACTTATGGCCTGGCCCAAGAACATTGCCAGGTGGTCGGGGTTCCCATCAAAGGTGACCGGAATAGGAGGAACCCCCCATGGATAGCCTGGCCCCCACGGCCCCTGGGGTTGGCCTGGCACGAGGTTCGGATACCCGGCCACGAAGCCCTGCTGCTCCACACCCCCTGGCCTCGCTGGACCTCTTGCCACATCCTTGGGGCCGCCCGGCTGAGCTGAGTGCGCCTGACCCGGCGGCCTGCTCGAAGGGAGACCCAGGGTTCCCAACCCACCCGTGGGATTAGGCAACTGCAGCCGCGGACTACTCAGGCGGAACCTAGATGAGGGGGTGCGGCCCGCAGCATCCCCTTCCGATTGCCACATATCGGCGGCGCCCCTATAACTTGCTTCGCCAAACCGATGGCGCAATATATCCATGGTCTCTTGGCCTGGGGCCGTAGAGTAGCTTCAGTCTTCATCGTCCTCCATGGTGGCGCGTCTCTCCCTCCACCCCGAATGACTGGCCTTCGGCTTAGGTGTTAGTAGTTGTTCGGTTTGCAATCCCGTCACCGCCGGGCTTTGCCACCACTCCTCCTGTGGCTTAGCAGCCCCTGCCTCCCCCACGTCGAGTCCCGGGATTGCAGGCAGTAGCAGTTTCGGCCGCACCACCGGCTGGGCTGCCGCCGCCTCCGACGCCGGGACCGCGTCCGCAGCCCCGTCGGTCGCCACCTCTCCCTCGTCCAGGGCGGGGCCCTGCGTTCCCTCCGCCATACCTTAGCCTTCCACCGCACATGGGAGCTGGAGGCTGGAGAAACGTTAGATGAGTGCTGACTTTATGTCAGGCTATCCGCTGTCGTCCGTAGCGCGAAGGCAAAGAAGACCGGCACACACTGACACCCAACAAGCACTTTATTATGCAAGTGAGACAAAGTCAGCACTGGGGTTAGTTTCCTCCCACCGCCATATATCGGCGTGCTCCACCCTGTGGGTCCGCCCCCGGTTCCAAACCACTATCCGTTCAAAATGAATAAATGCTCCACCCTTTCCCTGTGCTTTCCCTTTCCCCGACGGAACTCCGCCCCCACTCCCCATTGTCCGTGCGCCCGATCCGCGCGTCAGTTGCCCGCCGCCAAACTTGCCCTGCCTAACGTCCTGGTTGCTAAGGGACAGCCCCCCACTCCCCTTTGCTGGGTCTGGCCGCCGGAGTGCAGTCCTCCCGCCCCCAGATGGCCCGGCCGCCGCTCTCCCTTCCGCAGACCGCAGTTGGCATTCGTGGACCTCCGGCCCTGTCGGCAACGGCCGTCCCTTGGGTTTTGCTAGCGTCTGTTGTGTAGCTTGTGGAGACGTCCGCACAGTTGAAATTCGGTTGGTGCAGCCGTGGGGCGTGGCGGGGTACTGCTCAGCTGCTTCTCGGGCTGGTAGGTCGTTATCCGTGCTCCCCCGTCCCTGTTCGTATGGCAAGCCTTTGGGGGCTTGACATATATGATATCGTAAACTGAATCTGAATTTTGACTACATTTCCAGCACTTATTACAAATTACATTTTCACTAGTCTATCTGGGGTCAAATACCAATGATACATCATTTTATAAAAAAATTCTTTCAAGATATAATTTAATGTAAATTTTAATCCATTTGTCCATACATACTCCCATTTATCTAGTGTTATATTATACCCATTTTTTTGCCCATTCTACCATACAATCTTTAATGTATTAATTTTCCAGATTCATTTTGAGTAAGATTTTATATACTTTAGAAATCGTGATCATCTCCAGAACATAAATTAATGTCCAATTCAGATTTAGTTCCCGTGAAAACAAAACTTTTTTTAATCAAGTTTAAATCTTTAAAAAATTGTATAATAATTAAATCAATCACAAGTAAATCCTTCACTTACTAATTGTTCTCTGTTTTATCTTGAATCCCTCTTTTTCAAATATCAATAAGTCTCAATAAGTCATACATTTACATTCCAATATCATCTCTGTGCTGTGTAGTTCTTCAAGAGGTGATAGCCATAGTGGCAGTTTATCAACTAATCTTCTTTTGTACTTCCACCATATACATGCAGTCGATTGCCTAATAGCATGAATCTTAAAACCAGGGTTAATTTTTCCTTTGTCATACCACAGATAGGCATGCCACTCAGATCTCAAATCAAAACCTTCAAGGTCTAATAGCCTTGAATTTTTTACAGTTATCCAATCTTTTAACCATACCAGACAACAAGCATACTAATATAGTCTAAAATCTGGCAAACCCAGACCTCCTCTATCTTTAGAATCTTGTAGCAGCTTATATTTAATTCTTGGTTTTTTATTTTGCTAAATTTATTTAGATATAGCTTTCTACCACTGCTTTTTAAAACAATTGAAAATGCAGATAAAAAAGGTAAGGCAAATTATCTCAAATAGTAATTGTTTAATACAGTCATTGAATATATAGATCATTTGTATTTAGTTCCCCCGTTCCCAAATATTTCTGTTCAAATCTGTTGGCAGAGAATTATTTAAATAAGTTATGTGTGTTTGAAGAAAAAGATATGAGACTTCTAAACACTTTATTTTATATAATAGATTCAGAAACACGAGTAGAAACAAGATATATGTATCCTGATCCTCCCACCAATAATGATACTCTGGACATTCAGCAGCTAGCATTGCTAAGAGAGCAAAAAAAGAAACTTAAAAAAATGAGGAGAAATGCAGAAGGTAAGCTAGGACTGCTCAGAGTAGGTGTGTCTTTCATGGCTTTAATTTAGCTCATAATCTTTATTTTGGTCTTTGCACGTATCCACTTATACTCCAAATATAAATATTTATGTCAAGTGCGGGTAAATCAGAGGTTCAGGCAGTTCAAATGAATATGTAGGTTTTTTCCTACATCTCTAGGGGACATCTCTATCTCCCCTGATTGGGCAAAAGTCTGGCATTCTTGTTTCTCATAGTTACAGTATTCAAATTCTGTTAAAATAGATTTCTAGCAGATTCCGTCTTGGTGATGATTTTAATTTTAGAAGTCTTGGATCTCAAAATTAATAACAAGGGAATCTTCAATTAGGGATTTTAGTTCTTGTTGTGAATTGGAATTGCACAAAGTACAAAAAAGAAAATTAACAAGTTGTTTCACTGCTGAACAAATATAATATAAAAATATATTAACAATATGTTATTCATATTTTGGGTGTTTGCAAATTGGCTGAATATTGATAAACAGCTTATTTAAAGGGAAAAAGTGAAGAGAGATGCACAAAACTTTGGGGAACTTATAAGAAAAATCCTATTTTTATGTGAGTTCCTCAATAAATATCTAATGGATTGCAGGGTTTTATGATAACATATTCAGTTTTCTACTTTATTTCTGTTCCACTAACAATTTTGTTTATTTGAATGTAATTATAATTATTAACATTAAAAATTACCATTTCTCAGTAAAATTATATTGCTATTGGTGTGATTTTGAATACATGGCTTTGATAATATTTATTATATTCCTGAATTCTAGTATTATGGAGCACTGTCGGAATCCTTTGGTTTTTACTTCTGTTTTCTTATCAATATGTTTGTTTTATTAGGTTCCCTAGATTTTGATGAGCCAGTATCTAGCATTAGATCAAGGGACAAGGGATTGGTGAGCAACAATACAATTAATTTACTCAATTTCCATTCCTTGTGGGAAATAATAACTTTGTGAACTTATGTGGATATACTAATTCATATTCCTTGAACTTTTGCCTTTTATGTTCAGTTTTTCATTAGAGATTTTGTTTTCTTATACAAGGATTACGGCTCCATGTTTTTTTGTGCTGGCTAGTCCCACCTAGGTTGTCTCTATGACTTCTTTAATGGGTACCTAGTTTGTCTAAGTTAAAGTGATACCATGGGTCGCATGTACAATAGTATAATTTTCAAAGGCTTTTGGGAACTTCAGTTCTGTAGAAAGCAACAGTGCGGATCAGTGTGGACTGGGATTCACATTGTGAACACTTATTAACAGTATTGAATAGTTGTTTAATTGTTACACATTTCACTGTAATTAGAAAGCTGAAACATGGAACAGTATTCTAAAGGATCTTTAGTTATATTTTAAAAAACAATTTCTCAAAACTCTTTAAGAGAGAGTTTAAAATATTTCCTCAGTAGTGAAAGTTGAACATGTTTTGTTGAATACACTCAAAATAACTTGATCATTATTGTTTTAGACATAAGTTATTTTGTATTTTTTCCAAACTGGAGATGTGAATATCAGATAAACTGAGACATAAAAAATTAAAGATGTCTTGCTTTGAAATAAATATAGTAGAGCAGGAAAAGCTGCGCAAAGGAGAACCAAAGTGATCCATGGGTTGAAGTAGATCCATTGTTAAGAAAGTTTCAACTATTGAAACTTTTCCAAATCTTGGAATAAGGCAGTGAAGGACACTTGCACATTGTTTTTAAAAAAACACAAAACCATAGGGAGACATTCATAACACATTGAGTTCAATTGAAATGAGATTTTACTTAAAATGAAGAGACTTAGAAAAGGATAACATTATAATATAATAAAATTTATTCTGAATGAGTACGTATTTCCAGGGTAGTCCAAAGATTATACACTTGCAGAATGAAAGATATATGGAAAAGAAATTGTAGCTTGCTTTTTAAAAGGTAACTTTTCAGTGCTGTGTTACATTTATTTAATAATATATTAAGTCAAGATCCAGATTACTTAAGCATTATGCAGCCATTATTTCTGAAAGGCTATTATAGGAACAAGTGGGAATAATGGAAAAATGTTATTAATGTTAAACAAAATAAACTGTTGATTTAACTTGACTTTTCGGTTGCTTTTCATTTGTAGATTAGAGATGCAGACTCAGATGAATTTATGAAAACCTCACTCCTGGAATCTGAGAGTGCTTTTATTGGTGATTTTATCTTTTTAGTATTTCTATATTTGATAGACTACTTATCAAGAACTATCTTGTATATATGCTTCATTCTTCTCAAATTTATGCAGCATTTTAGTCATAGCTAATATTTGTTGTTTGAAAGATATATATCATTCTACATTTGTAAGACTAGAATCAATTGATTTTCAGCTATTTCAGTTTTCTGGGTTTCTATAGATACATTTAATAGTTTTCTATTATTCAGAAATACAGTGATAGGAGTTTGAATGTAGTATGTTAAAGTATCTTCTAAATTAGTTCTTTAAGAGTTTTCACTGAATGAAGTTATTGGAGATTGTTTTGGTCTTGCTTTTCCATAATATAGTAGTCTTCAACTTATGATTACAACTAAGCTCAACATTTCTATTGCTAAGCAACAGTTGTTAAGTGAGTTTTACCCCATTTTACGACATTTCTTGCCACAGTTGTTAAGTGAATCATTGCAATTGTTAAGTGAATCTGGCTTCCTCACTGATTTCCTTGTCAGGAGATCACAGATGATCACAATGATCCCAAGATCCCAATCCTCATAAATATAAGTTGCTAAGAGGACAAATTTTAATCACATGACCACGGGGATGCTGCAACAGGCATAAGTGTGAAAACTTTTTCAGTACCATTTCAACTTCAAACAATCACTAAATGAATGGTCATAAGCTGAGGATTATCTGTATATGGTTACCTAATATAGATTAGAAACTAGCTTTGCAATTTCTCCACGAATATTGCTTAAAAATCTAGTATGAATTTATATTTTGACGCTGGCTTCTTCTAGGTACGGATGGTGAAACTTACCCAATTTTAGAAGAGCATAACTACAATATGAATATAACTCCTTCACCCCCTGTATCTGCAAGAGAAAGAAGGAGAGAGAAGAAGAAGGTAAAGGAATTTATTGGATTTTCCCCCCCATTGAAGCTTAGTGAACCTAAATCTTAACTGAAATCAAATTCTACCATCTGTTTATTTTAACAAGCCTTATTTAATTAAATTCTCTCTCTCTATGTGTGTGTATTTATAACTGGTATCCAACATTTCTGGCTTTGTGGACCGCCGGGGGGGGGGGCAGAGAGGATGGTTTCATATGAGTGGCAGGTGAGCATGCATAGCTCTATTTGCAGAAGCAGCAAGCATGCATGCATGGTTGCTCACTGCTTCCACAGCTTGGCTGGGGACCCCTGGTTTAGAATATCTTTTTTATTCTATATTTCCTGACAGTAGAGCTCAGTATTGAATTAAGGAGTGATGGCTACTGGGCTAATCTACAACTCTGAAAATATCAGTTAAAACTATAACCCGTCTTTCCAACCCAATATAGTAATAATAACGATAACAAGCAAAATGATAACATAATTAGTATAGAGGAAAGGACAAAAATCAAAGTCTACATTAGACATTTAATCAGCAACCGTGAAAGTATCTTGAGATAACTTAGGGAAAATTAACATCTGACAAACTGATGAAGTAACTAGCATTTTGTTTATAATGTTTCTGTGTGGTATGTAAATTATTTCAGTTGAAAATGTGGTTATTGACTTGGCAAGAATTTCATAATAATTCAATTTAACATAATTCTCTATATCTTCAGGGTGATGCTTCTCACAGGAGGACTACACCACCACAATTTGGCAACACCTCTCTCCACTCGAATTCTAGTCTCAACATAGATCAATTAAAAGCCAGAAATGAAGAAAGGCTGCAAAGTTTAAATGAACTACATAAGAATGCCAGTCATATAGGTATCATCTCTTTATTGAATGATAGGACAGAAATTATTGAAAAATTAAACATTTTTGTTAAATTTGGAAGTGTGAGCAAACTTTACCTAGAGCAGCTTTTCCCAAACTTGGTGTCTTTCAGATGTTTGCAGTTCATCTTGCAGGATTCTCAGAAATTGCCTCACTAGCTGTGGAATCCTGGAAGTTGACCTGCATGTTTGGTACCTGTTGGATGGGAAAGGCTAGCCAAGGGCAAAGTACTGGTGATTAATAATACCCAGCATATATGGCTAATATGCTACCAAGGCTAAGCTACTACATAGAAGACAAGAGTGCTGCACTGCACTGTCATTACTTCCCTTCCACATTCAGATTTTTAACATATGCAAGTAATATATTTTCCTTAATTTAAGTTTATTAGATTGAGTCTTCACCTCTAGGTCACCATACACAAGTATTTCAGATCTTCTGTAAGATATTTAAGGGCTATGAATAGTACTACCATATTTTCCTTCAGTCCTTTTTTTCTTGAGGCAAGAGATATCCAATCCCATCAACTTTGTTCTTGTAGGCCTTGTTTTTTTATGCCAGTCATGTATTTTAATTTACCTACCCCCTCAAAGTGTTATGCTCAGAGTTGGATACAGCCCATGCTTTGATAATATTTAGTCTATGCTCCAATAACATTTCCACCGGAACATGATTTCTGCTGTGGTATTATGTGGACGGGTTTCCATGAACATCTTTTCAGCTTTGCAGCTCTTACTTTCAATTTTGCAATTTGACACTATAAATGTCAGACTGCCAACCTTAGCTGGCTTCCCAGACACTTATTACTTGGCACAGGGCTGTTTGCTTTTGTTTTTACAATAAGTGCAAACAAAGACAAGGATCAGGTGAGAAGGACAGGATGTAATGGTATGTGGGAATGATATTGGGAGATGGGAGAAGAGCTGCAGATTATACAATGAACTGATAAAATTTGAGTCCAAAGGAAGAGGAGTGGCAAAACCATCTCTAGTTTTGGGGAGCCTAAAAGTGAAAAAAGTGAGGAGTACTTCCAAACTTGGAAGTGGAATGCAGTATTGCAGGCTAACTCTGACCACAGCTAGGAGTTCCGACCAGCTCAAGGTTGACTCAGCCTTCCATCCTTCCCAGCTTGGTAAATAAGGATCCAGATTGTTAGGGACAATATGCTGAGTCTGTAAACTGCTTACAGAGTGCTGTAAAACAATATGGAGCAGTATATATGTCTAAGTGCTATTGCTATTACTATTGCTAATAAAGACATCTAGTACTTCTGGCTGTGCTTCTTGTCTAGTCTACCTCGCAAAGCTGACATCAATCTTGCAAGCATGAAAGTAACCCTACCTATGTTCATTGTTATTCTCCCCAAAAGCAGGGAGAGTCCCTTCTGAGATATTTTCACCACCCATGCTCCTTCAGACTCAAATTTTATTTATTAGACTGTAGGTTGGGCTCTTCCTGTTTTCCAAGGACATTTCCACATATCATTACACAGAGTGTGAGCAGTAGTATAGTTTTGGAACTACTTCACTGTCCATCTTGAGAAAAGCTAATTGGCTCTGATAAATGCTAATAATTGTTACGATGGACATAGCCATTCACTGTTGTGAAATTGGATATGAAGATCTTAGGATTAGAAAGACTAATGATACAGAACGTAGAGAATGCGTACAATCAGTAGAACTATTATTTTTTAGCATTTAAAAATGGGCAGGGGGGCAATAATATTAATAATGGGTGAAATTCAGAGTCATCTGAGTTGACACCTGCTTGCACAATAGGATACTCTTCTCTGTTGCTCTCTAGAGTTGTCAAATCTCCGTAACATAATTTTCCATGATGAACTTTGGTATATACAGGAGGCTTCAGGAAAGTAGGGGAATTGCCTCTTTTCCTAGCCTACCTTTAGTGGAACTGTAAATTGAATTTCTCACTGGAATTTTGTGATTAAGCACTCAACATCATCTTAATCCTTTGTTGCAGCATGCATCTGATTTATAATCAATTGATCATTGATTGCATTAAAAGTAACATTACTGTTTGCTTTCCTCCAGTCAGAATGCAGATTGGCTTTTCTCAAATTTGTATGCCTTTATTTGAAATTTCATCCTGGAGTTTTGAGCCAGGCTTACCATTCTTCCAAGATAATTTTTATCTTTTTTGCCCTGCTTTATGCAGTCTATAAATCTGTTGAAATTTCCCTTCACCAAGCAGCATTATATCTCAGGTACTATCACCATAAATAAACTAATGAGGTGTTGAAAAAGATTTTCCTGCAAATATCATATATTCTTTCTTGATAGGTTAGCATATTCCATCACCAAAATCTGGACTGATTTTTGACATTTTCTTTGTAGAAAGGAAGTAATAGTCAGGGTGAGTAACTGACCAAATTTAGTTTCTTTTAGTTATCTTTTAGAGAGACTCATAGATATTTGAAGATCCTTTTTGAATTCCAGTTTCTCAATGCAGCAAATGCCAAAATAGATTTCTGTTCATAGAGAAGCTTTTCTTGATGAATGCTACTATGTGCTATCCAAACATTTCGTTTTGCCACATCATTAAAAAAAACCAGCTTCTACATACCAAGAAAATTATTCTTTCTTTGAAACATCAATAATGTGTCTACATATTGAAATTCTGTATAATAGGGAGTCCTTAAAACCTCTTAGGACTCTCTATGTTGGACTGGACCTATTTTCAAATTTGACATAATTATTTATTGCTGAAACTGCAATTTCAAAAATAATCTTTATTGTAGTTTAACTTTTTGTATTATTAAGTTTGGGCTTGCTTAAAATTAATTTATACATCCCTTTTCATGAATTAGATATGTAACTGTATACACAAAGATACTCAAATGTTATACTTGTCTTTCATATACACAGATCGACACTCAAAACTTCCACCTATGTGTTTTAAAAAGGACTGGATTTATCCGGAAAAGTATCCACTGTTTGCTGCACATGTGGATTTTTAAGCTTCCTCTGCAATTAATTTTCTTAAAATTTTACACTTTAGTAATTTATTAGTTAGTAGTAATTTGCTTTATATAGATACCTTTATATTTCGTTAAATCTATTCTTTCTTCCATGCATACAGTATTTCCTGTATCTCTGGCTGCTGTACAATCCCTGAGCATCATAGAACCTCCTGTATATTTAATTGTTGGCAAGGTGTTTTTTTTTTCTTCAAATACTTCATATCTCTTTCTCCAAAAGTCTCTTGTATTGTTGTGGTCAAAAAGTTCTAACTTTGACTCATTAACCCAAAGCACTATGCTCCAAAAGATTGCAGATTTGTAAAACTTTTTTTTTTTTTGCATACTTGAGATGTTGACTGTTGTGATGAGGTTGAAGAAAAGTGTTGTTTTAATAAGTCTCCCATGCAAAATCATTGTTGTATAAACAATGCTCTTCAATGGACAGGGACTCCAGTGTCAACTAAACTTCAGTAAGTCATTTGTGGTGATTTCTGGTTTCTGTTTTGTACATCTGATTAGTTTTCAGGCCATTCTAGCAGAATTTTTTTCTTAGTCTTCACCTGTCAGCAAGAAATTGAAACCTGAAGAGAGATTGGTTATTTCAGCAAGTCAATCTGAAACAATCTTTCAGATTGATCATACCTGACCAGGAGTGCCTAAACTTTTGCATACAGAAGTATCTCTAATGTAAGAAATACAGGAAAAAAGAAAGTTGGATCCTCTAGTGTTATTTTAAGGCATAGTGTGTAGTTGGTCTTGATCACCTTCATATTTACCTTAGAAATGCCATTTCTCATTCCTCTGTGTTAAATAACTTGTTATTTGACCAGTGACTCTAGAATAAGGAAATATTGAAAATCTGAAGTATCCTGATTGGGCAACAGTTGTGCTGGCCTTGCTGCATTTTTATTCTACAGAAGTCTTCTGTAATACTTCAGAATGAATAATTTGGTCACTGAAATATATGGTAGGATACCACATATGACATCATATATTAAAGTTTGTTTCTTTTCCTCAAGCTGATGACATTTCACTGGGGAATGGTGATGACATCCTGAAGGAATTACTTCCTAAGTATGGCAGAAGACCCAGTTCGATTGATTCTGTGGCAACTGAGCTGTGGCTTAGACCTGGGACATCAGAAACCTTTAAAAGACTCATGGCTGAGCAGTCAAGTCAAGCTAAACCCACTTCTGAGAAGAGGATAACATTCAATTGGCAGGGGCTGTCAACTGCCCATGGCTAAATAAACCTGTGGTAAAGCTGTTTGTGCCTTTCAAAAGTTTCTTCACTATTGCACTTTTATATTCATAGTTGATTGTAAAAACAATGCCTACCTTTGGTCAATTATCGATACATTACTGATGACATCTAAATTTGGAAATATATTCCCACAGTAAATTTTCATGAAAGCTTCAGAATATAGCTAAATATACAATTTAGTGTACATTTAATGGTACTGAGGCAAACATTTTCAAGTTTATTTCTGGATTATTTTTTTTCTCAAAAATTACCTCAGACTTCTGCAAGATTGAGAAATATGACCTGAATGTAATCAAATAAAATACTGTGGCTTTTTAAGACATGTAATAGATGTTTAGGGATTATCCAGGATTTAAATTCATTGCTGCTTTACTTCTAGCCCACAAGTCTTATCCAGTCATTTGTTCTAAAATGCTATTTTTATATTTATATGTGTATATGTGTGTTCAAATGTCAATAGTGAATTCTATGAATGTATTTATGTTCATGACTTAAGATGACAAAATAAATTATATTTTTATCAGGATTATAATGAAGTATTTGTGAAGATGGATATTTTGTGAAATGAATAAATTTTCTTTAACAATGAAAGCTCTGGAGCTTCCTTGATGCTTTTTTCTCATTGCAGTAGAAATAGCATGTGGGATGAATTACATTGTTGAACTAAATTCTAACTGAACTGTATTAAGTCTAATACAAATTTGTTGATTTGTTAACCCCTTCACATTTATTTGGAAGGAAAAAATACAAATGTCATTGGCTGAAGGCAAAACTGCAGGGATTGATCCATATAAGCTCCGTTTTGTGTAACTTTGCAAGGGGTTTATTGTATGTTACACGTAATATTTAATAGTATATGTAATATACCATTAAAATGGACTCTTCCAACAAAGATCAATTTCCCAACTATAAACTCTGGAAGGTTAGATGGATAGAAAAAGGTACCATGAAGAATTTTCTGATCACCTAAATATAATTTTTTCCTTATCCTTCATCTGGATGTAGTTCAAGTTTTCTTTTATTGAACATTTAATTGTAACAAAAAACAATTGCTTTTAGGCAAATATACAGGAGAACAGAAGCTATAATAGCAAAATATAGTAATTTGCAATGTCAGTTGTTGGCAACTTCATTGGTTACTAATCCTTTCCCCTCCAAATAGGGAAGGATTATTGAGTGACTCATTTGAAGTCCAAAAAAGTACTTCATAATAAGTTTAGCTCCTGTCCTCAATTGCTGAGAGCAAAGAGGAAAGAGATATATTATACCAGTTTCCCCAAGGAAACAGTATTTTTTCAGAGTACGGTCACTCTTCTGCCTCATTTGAAATCCTTCAGATTTTTATAGCTACCCTTTGGCTATAAGATAGCAAAGATCCAGCAGTCTTGTTCTCATCACAGGCTGGGAAGCTGCTGCTTGCCTTTTCTACTCTGTATAACTGATAAGCCACTTATTGGATGATGAAGCTACTAGTCTTGATCAACTACCAGAAATTTGCAGTTATCAGCCCTGTCTTGTTTCTTGTCTGGCTATTGGAGAGACTTTTGCATGGGGGCCACTTCGAAGCAGCCTTCAGTTCTGCCATTTGTATGTGAGACAGAATACTGTCCTAGATCTTGATTTGGCTACAGTTTTTCCAACATAGGAAGATTTGAACTGAAAAATAGAAGGAATGATATTTGAATTAAGTTAAATTCTTTAATCACTTGCAAACATGCTGAAGGCAATCTGCTTCAGCACCGTTAACCATCATTGTTAAACTTTAAGCTTCTTAAAACATTAAAACAAGTAGTTTTACATTGCATTGGTTTTCATTGCACCGATGAAAGAATTCAAAAACTTTATTGACTTATAACCTGATTAGAATATGCCAGATGAGAACCAATATTGTACAGAAAGTTGTACAGAATTTACATAGAAAACTTTACAGAGCTGTACCATATACATTTTTCCATCTCAAAAAATTTTCTACATCCACTGTAAGACAGAATGCTTGACAATCTTTTCTTTAACCATCAGAGCACAATTCACAGTATGAATACATTTCCAATAAATTTAAAACCGTCCCTAAACCATGCCAGATTTGTTACTTGAATATATTTAACATTACATTCTGTACAGAGTGAAATCTACATCAAATAACCCCCCCAAAAGGTGACATAAGATAAAACCTAGACTCATTTGCAGTGATTCAAGTTCCAGCCCAGAAGGATCGTTGCAATGGATTGTTATATTTAAAAGCCCTATCACAGGTATATTACAAACAATTAAGCCAGTTGTGACTTTTTTTCAATCTCTGCCCTTCTCTAAAGTTAGCAAGACTAACTTTTAGGATACAGACCAAATCAATCACAACATAAACTCAGACTAGTGCATTTGGTAAACAAATGTATGGGTTTCTACGAAATAATAAAAGAATGCAGGAAGAACTATATAGTGTTTGTAATTTTATATTACAGACCTGCACTCTGTTTTTTATTGAAGAATGATTAGCTATATCTCAGCTTGAGTGTGCAGATTTTTTTTTTTTTTCAGAATAAGAATTCCACAAAGTTGCTAGATCTCTTACCTGGTATTTTCCTGTGCTCTCAGTACAAACCATTCTTTCAAATACCATTCTCCTGAGCTGTACTCTATGGAAGTTCAAACTTTTTAAGTGTTAGTTCTTTGGGTACATATCTTAAGTTCACAGCCATCATAAACATACATATGCACACACATACACATAATATGTATGTATGTCTGAATAAGAGGACATCACAGTCCAAGCTGACAATAAGACTGTTTAAAACTGGCTCAATGCTCAGCATAAGCCAGGAAAGAGAGGAAGAAGTATCCACTTGAGAATTAAAAGTTTTGCAAGCCTAAGTTACAGCTTTACTCTATACTGTGAACCCGTACATACACACATTGCCATATAAAGACCCTCATTATGAACATCCAGTGCAAGTTGATTTGGTTCTTTGTTTCCTAGTTATGCTTTTACTGCTTGGCTACATTTTCCTCTTGATCTGCTGGTTGAGATATTTGGAAAACAACTCCAATTCGTAGAAAAAATCTTCGCAAAACAGCCCGGAGCTCAGGAATCAGATCAAATTGCATTATTTCACATAAAAGAGGATAGTAGAAAGATGCATGAGCTTTGAACTAAGGGAAAAAAGAATTCTGTTAGACATTAAGTTTTGGAACGCGTAAATTCAAACATTACAATTAGAATTATCTAGGTGTCAGATCCCTCATCCCCTTTTCTGAAGAAACAAATGTGCATGGTCTTATTAGCACTGGAGTACTGATACCAAGAGGGAAAAAAAGAAGGCAAATGGCAATATGACATGAATGGATTGGAATGTTTTTATTCCTTAGCAATGGAGGAGAACTGATCCTAATTATGATAATTATGATCTGTTGTAAGGAAAAAAAACTGAGCACAATCCCTGGAAAGAAAGGAAAACACCCTTCCTTATTCCTTCAAGCTTGAGTTCAACTGGAGTCTGTGGCCCACAATGTTGGAATTAGAATTGATCTACTACTGACAGAACAATCTACAAGGGATGTACCATAGCAGTCGACGTGATGTGCCGGTGCCTGGAAGATGTGAGGGTCTGGATGGGGGTGAACAGGCTTAGACTCAACCCTGACAAGACCGAATGGCTCTGGGTCTTGCCTCCCAAAGGCCAACTGGATGGTCCATCTTTAGTCCTGGGGGGGGGCAAATTTACCTCCCTCAGTGCAGGCATGCAACTTGGGTGTCCTCCTGGACTCACAGCTAAATTTGGAACGACATCTATCGGCTGTGGCCAGGGGGACCTTTGCACAGGTTCGCCTAATGCACCAGTTGCGGCCTTATTTGGACCGGGAGGCTTTACTCACAGTCACTCATGCCCTTGTCACCTCAAGACTGGATTACTGTAACGCGCTCTACATGGGGCTACCCTTGAAGGGCGTTCGGAGGCTGCAGTTGGTTCAGAACGCAGCCGCGAGAGCGATTGTGGGCGCGCCAAGGCACGCCCACGT